AATTGGCCATTAATTATTTATTGGCCATTTGCAATAGGTCTTCTAAGAAGTATCCATTTTAGTTGCCCCCCTTTTTTTAATTAGGACTTTTATTTTGGCAGTTCTAATTTATTTTACTCCTTTGTATTCTAGATATTAGCCCCATGTCTGAGTAGCTGGCAAAAAATATTTTTCCTATTCTGTAGGCTGTCTCTTCACCTGCCTGTCTCTTGACCTTCAACCACTTCTGTTGGTGGTTTCCTTGGCTGTGCAGATGCTTTTTAATGTGATGTAATCTCATCTTTGTGGCTTTTTCCCCCCAGTACCAGGGATCAAACTCAGGACCTTGCACTTGCAAGTCAGGCATGGCACCACTGAGCTGACTCCCTGGCCAGCTCATCTTTAATTCTTGGTATTATTTCTAGTTCAGAAAGTCTTTGTTTATACCTATGCTTTCAAGAGTTTTACCTATTTTGTCTTCCAGCAGATTCTTTCTGTTTTAGTGTTATTTGATCCATTTTTTAGTTTAATGCATGATGAGAGATACAGAGTTTAATTTAATCTTTAGCATGTGGATAGTCAGTTCTCTCAGAACCATTTCTCAAGGCTATCTTGCCTCCAGCAAAAATATCTAGCTCCTTTATCAATGATAAAAGTCACTGAGTGTGCCTGGAGTTGTTTCTGCATCCTTTATTCTGTTCCATTAATCCATACATGTCAAGGCGGAGGGGGGTTGGGGGATTTTGTTTTGTTATTGTTATTTTTGTTTATTGCTCATATCATGTTTTTATCACTGTAGCTTTATAGAATAATTTGAAGTCTGGCATTGAGATGCTTCCTGCCTTGTCCATCATGCTTTGAATTGCTTAGGTCTCTTCTGGGTTCTATATGAATGTTCTGATTTTTTTTTCTGTAGTTCTGTGAAAAAAAGCTATTGATATTTTGATTGGGACTGCATTAAATCTGTATAATAGTTTTGGAACTATAGCCATTATTACTAATTAGTCCCGCCTATTCAGTACCAAGAAATACCTTTCCATTTTCTGATATTCTCTTCTATTTCATTTTTCAGAATATTTATAGTTTTCATTGTAGAAGTCTTTTAATTCCCTGGTTAGGTTAATTCCTAAGTATTTTCGTGTCTACTTGATCTATTTGTGACAATGGGTATTGAAGTCCCCTATTGTATTAGTGTTTATATGATTTTTCATGTCCAATATGTTTTATGAAGTTGAGTACACCAGTGTTTGGTGTGCCTATTTATAATTATCTCATCCTATTGAATTGTTCCATTAACCAGTATGTAGTGACCTTGTCTCTTATCAGTTTAGCTTGAAATCCACTTTGTCTTAAATTAGGATAGCTGTTCCTGCTTTTTTCCAGATTCCCATTTCATGGACTGTATTTATCCATTGTTTGATTTCTACTCTGTGAATTGGTATTTGAACTAAATGAGTTTCTTATAAACTGCATATCATTGGGTTTTATTTCTTAGTTCCTTCTGCCAATCTGCCTTTTAATTGGGGAACTGACACCATTCATATTGAGAGGTATTACTGACAGGCATTAACTTATTCCTGTCATTGCATAATTTTCTTGTTTCTGATTTCCTTATTTTCCCCTTTGTGTGTAGCTGCTTTTCATGCCAGGTATTGTCATTCTCTGTTATCTGCTATAATTGTTGGCTTCATTGTCTCTAAGATATCCTTTTAAAAATTTTTTTTCTTTTTTTTTGGTACTGGAGATCAAACTTGGGACCTTGCTCTTGCAAGGCAGGTGACAGAACCACTGAGCTAAATCACCAGCTCTCCTTAAAAAATTTTTTAATGTTGTTTTGAGCTGCTGCTTGTCATGAAAATACTTTATTTCTCTATCACTTTTGAAAAAAAGTTGCACACAGGACATATAAGTTGGGTTCAGAACTTATTTTCTAGGGCATACCTCCAAGAACTTCTGGCCTTTAATATTTGTGTTGATAAGTCTGCTTTAATTCTAATTCAATTCTAATTTTTACCTGTGACTCATTGCTATTCTCTAATAACTTTTACATTTTTGTCGTTGTGGTGGACTTGTGATATTTTGAGTATTATGTGACATTAGAGAGGTTCTCTGTGTGCTTATCTGTATGTTTATTTCTTTTGCTATATTGTGGTACCTATGGTTTTTTGCAGGGAAAGGCTAAATTTGTGTTAGTATGGGGAAGTTGGCCATGGTCACCTGAAACAGTTTGTGAATGGAAATCTCTAGTTCCCCATGGCTGAATACAGGAGTTTCTGGGGATTTCTGTAGCTATGAGATGCAAATGGTAACCCAAGGGATAGCAACTGGTGATATTGTGGCTTTGGGCAGGAGAATCTAGTCTCAAAACTATAGGTTGACTCCTGTACAGTAGGAAATGTAGGTCAGGCTTGTGGATATGGTAACCACTGGTCCTAAAGCTGCAGGGTATTGAGGGACCTAACCTCTTCTCTGTGAAGCAGTCACAAGCCCAAAGCTTCTGGAAGCACCACAGGGCCCAGCCACTAGACCCAAAATTAGGATGGCATCTGGCAGTGACTATTAAAAGTAATATGGGTTCTCAGAACAGTTTAAATTTTTGTCTTCTTCTAGGTATGGTGGCACATGCCTGTAATTCCAGCACTTGGAGGGTGAGGCAAGAGCATCACTATGAGTTCAAGGCTGGTGAACTTATTGGGTTTCACAGTAAGTTCAAGGCTGGCCTGAACTACATAGCAAGACACTGTCTCAAAAAATGTTTTCTAAACCAATGGCTCTCAACACTTGTGCTAGGTCTTGATCTAAAAGCCAAATCTAAACCCTCGACCTTTTCTTGAGAAGCCAGCAAACTAAGTGGTTTTATAATTTTATTAAATTATATTTTTAAAATACATTATAAAATTTTAAATATGTATTTTAAAATTATATATACACAATACACGTTAAATTTTTAAATATATGTCTATAATTTATATACATTGATGTGTAATCCATACATTATAGATTAATATATAATACATTAAATATATATTGAAATATATATGCAAATGCTACAGAAAACATATGTGGCCAGAACCCAAAATATTTGCTATCTGACCAATTACAGAAAATGTTTGCCAACTTCTGATTTAACTCTTGTTTAATGACAAAGATATTAAGATGCAAAAAACTAACCTCATTTCAAATGATGCTAGTGATGAGTTTATTCTGTTTTCTGGTTTAGTTTTACGTGTTTTTTTCATACTACCTTCAAAAACATCCTTTAGCCCTTGCTCCCAACATCATATATTCATTTAACACATGGTTCTTTGTTAGCTACGAGCTTAAGTTATATAACCAACTTCATAAAAGATGGGTTCCAGGACAGCTCTTATATTAAATTTAGAAATTTAGTACATCAACATTTTATCAGCTATCGCATTTTTAAAGCAGTTAACCCTAGTAATTAGGCAACTTCAGCTATTATTGTACATATATAATATAAATCTGTTATCTTCAGAATACCATTTTCTGTAACTATAAGCTTTTGAGGTTTCTCAACTTCAGAATTTCTCAGTAGAACTGGATTATCGTGTAATCAAATTATCATGTACTCTGACATAAAAAATGTTAAAATTTTGTGGTGGTATTTAAATCTATTTTCCCCCAATTAAAGAAATTAGTCTTTTCAGGTTGCTTTAAAATACACACACAAAGTTGTATACGAACTTAGACATTGTTCTATCATTACTGGTTGAAAGAGCTACACACAGGTAACACACTTGGAAAGTTAAAGGATTATATAGGATTTTACTAACTGATGATAAAGTGAAAAAACAATTTAAGGGAACTGAAAAGCCTTTCAGGTGGAAACTTATGATATGGCTATCCAGTGCTCCAAATTTCTTCTGCTATCCATCTGAATTATCTTCCATGTGTAGTTTGGGTGGGGCTGATCCTATATGAATAAAAGGTAAAATCACACAGGCCTTGAGGATATTAGAAAAGTGTTCTTTCAAGGTAGATCCATGGCTAGTATCTCAAACTTTTTTCAGGAAGGTTCCGACCACTCCCTTACTGAGAGGCTCTCTGTATCCAACTGTTTGTATATATAATATGGTTTATCCTAAACACCTACTTTTCTTCTAGGAATTTAAAATTTTGCTATGTGTTCAGGGAAATGATGCCTATGTGAACAGGCTCCCAGTAAAAGCCTAGGGTATTGAATCTGTAATGAACTTTGTTGGGGGCAAAGGAAGTCATAAAGAAGACAGTGAATAGGTTCATTAAGAAGTTAATATACTTCTTACTAGAAGATAAAAGAAAAGTAACAAATTGAGGGTAATTCATTCGACATTATCAAATTACAGAAGGGTTAAGGAACATTAATAATCTGCCAGGGCTGGGGATTTAGCTCAGTAGTTTGGGCGCCTGCCTGGTAAGCACAAGGACCTGAGTTTGATCCCTGGTACCAAAAAAATCTGCCAAATGTGGTTACAAGTAGATTTCTGATCTTTAAGATTTATAGAGGTGGGTAAAATTATTAAAACATCTTAACATAAGTTTTGAATAACTATGGTGTATAATCAACACTTTGTCATTAATGTATGGTGTCATTTGATTTATTTTGATAAGCTATTTGTATTGAGACACAAAGCTTTTCCAAGCTCAACAGTTTTTTAGTACAATAAAAGATCAGTACTTAAAATTGTCGTTGCTTTTTAAAAATTCCATTGGTAGAATGGTGGGTCACTCTGAATTATGATCTATTTTACATTTTAGAGAGCTCATGAAACCAAGGCAAATTTGGCAAATATGTAACTTTCCTTCTGTGCCTCTGTTGTTCATTAAATCAGTAATACAGTAATAATATCTACTATGTTCCATCACTGTTCTACATATTACAATTCTAAATTTCTGAGAACTTGCCTGATCCCTAAATTCAGTTCCCTCAATCTACCTATTCTTGTCACCCTTTCACACCTGGTTCCTTTGTTTCTCCTGATAGGTATGGGTCCTAAAAACATTCCCAAATCAACTTTCTGCCCATGAATCTTCATCTCAAAATCTGCTTCCCAGAAAACCCAGCCTGTAACAGCAGCCCACATATACTTTTCCCAGAGCTAAAAATCTGAAACATACCCCATGCCTGAACCTAGCCTCCCATTGATTGCTGCTCATTTCTCCATGCTACTCACTTCTCCAGACAACCTATCACAATAAAATCTGGGCACATTCATCTGAGGTAAATCTGAGGAAAAATTATTCCATGACAGTATTTGCTAATGGTTATCCTTATGGTTACTGATTAAGATAGTAATATCTCTTCTACTAAGATATTACTATCTCTTGTACATTTACAAACACTATGTGAAAATACAGAATTTCCAACAAAACAGAAGGGGAAAGAGAGAAAAGCATATGGGAATTCTCTATTACTTAAAGCAGAACCCTATTATACCAAAGAGTGAAAAAAGAGTACACGTAGGGAAATTCATCTTAAAACAGACATATCAATAAATTAGATAACAAAAAAGTGTAAAATGTACCAAGGTGGCTTTTATTCATTTAATTTTCCTGTTAACTTATCAGTGTTATCAATAATTCTATAGAAATTGGATTTGGATGAAAATGTTTTATTATGAAGCTACAGATCTAAGAACAGGAGGATAATTAGGAGCTAGCTCATAGTTCCTTGCAAAAATAATTATGAAAAACAGTAGAAAATGAAAATCTAAAATTATCTGAAATCTGAAAATGTAGGCAATTTCTCCTATATCTTAGTCTTGATCACTTTTGCAGAATCATCAAGCATATTTGGGTACAGTATTCTATTTTCACTTAGCAGTGTAGTGTGTCCTTCAGAGCTTGGAATAGTCTTTAAGAATCATCTGAAGTTTCTGACTCAGCATTATGTTCCCTCTGGCCTTCAGTCTGCCACTGAAGAATGCCTGGAAAAGAAAGAGGGAAAGAGAGTACCAAGTGTTATCACGTCACTTTTTACTTCTTTTTTTAAAAGACAACTGTTCAGACTAAACACAATTGAGGCATTTTTTTTATTTAGTAATAACAACAATTATACACAGCACTTAAATTTTTTAATGAGGAAAAAAAGACTCTTGTGCAGTCCAGAAAAACCACAGAATCTATCTGAACTGAAAGGCCTGGGATCCCTATTCCAACGTACCTTCCTATATTTACTCTCTTCTTACATGTGAATTTCAAGCCATATGAATAAAAGCTTATACTGTATTCCTAATAAATTTATAGAATTTCAAAATCAGATTTAAAATGTTTATCAAATTTTCACAAAATAAAAAAGCATATAATAAGATAATTTGGTATAATGCTGACTAGTATTTCTGAGAAAATGGTGGAGTGGTGAGCAGCAGAGAAACTGCCTCTTTGAGATCTGGAGTCTAATATAGTAATATGAGGAAGAGAGGAAGGAGGGAACTGGGTCCCCGGGACCCAGCAAGGACCCGAAATGAGAACTGGAGCCCATGGGGAGAACATAGAGAAACCTCAATGCAGAAGAAGAAGGTGGGAAGCTGCGGGTTCTTTCTGAGCAACAGATCATGGCATGGGAGGGGCAGCTCAAATCTGTAGACACACAGTAACTACTGGTGATCCCCAAATCCTTCGTGGAGAAATGCACCAGGGAAATGGAGCAGTGGACACTGCAGAATGCAGGGGCTGGTGAGTTATTCCAGCTCAGACATCCCCCAGGAGAAAGTGACTGACCAGTTGCCATTTTGGAAAGGAGCCAAGTGAAGTTACAATTCAGAGTGACTGAACATTGGCTCCATCTAGTAGCTCCCAGTGTCAGGGTGAGAGGCAGCCGTGGGGGAAACCCAAGATCAGGGAACCAAGTACAAGCTAGCAGGAGGCACCCGGAGCATCATGTACTGAACAACTCGGGTCCCAGCCTCACAACCAGAAGCCACAAGCCACAAGCCAAAAGCATACTGGACTTCAGTAAAACTGAAGGCCACTGTAATTCTACTGTTGCCTTGCTGGGATCAATCAACACAGATCCTGGGTCTGTCTGCCCCCTCTGTCAACCAGTGATAGCAGAGACATGTCTTGGAGTAGATGTTTGTTTTTTCTTTTCTTCCTGTCTTTCCCTTTTCCTCTTCTTTCTCTTTTCTTATTTTTATATGAATATGAACACCATTTCTAGTTTTTTTGTTTTGTTCTTGTTGTTTCTTTCTTCTTTCCCTGTCTTCCTTACCAGTTCCCAACCTTGAGTAATCTTGTCTTCCAGCCTTGCTTTTACTCCATTCCTCTTCTTCTATTTCTTTATTTTTTTCTCCTAAGTGAGTGCAATGACTGGCTTTTTCTGTCTGGGTGGATCTTCTCTACAAATGTTTGTAGCTCTGTCCATTTTTTTAGGATTTCGTTTATTTCAATTTGCTGCTGACACTCCCTATCCTCTTCAGAAAGCTCTTCAGCTTCCATTCTCTGTTGCTCAGCCAGAAGTTGCTAAAGTTCCTCTGTAGAAAATCCCTCTGAGTGTTCCTCCACCAGTTCCTCAACATCACCACCATCTACCTACAAGCCATGGACAATGTCGTCAACCACAAGGTGAAATGAAGGCTCAGGCTCATCTACACAGCCTCCAAAGTCTCTCTCCTGTAGAACTGTAGGCCATGATTTCTTCCAGGTAGATGTCAGTGTCCTTAAAGAGCCCAGGATTTCACAATTAACCCCACACAGGAAAGTATATTGTAACGATCCTTCCAGAACTCTTTTACAGGTTAAATCTGTATCTGAGACCACCTGGAAGCAAAAGCAGCAGGCATTCGGGTCATAACTCAAGACTTTAGGTGTAAGTTAACTAAAATTCTGGTTGTAACCCAAGTTTTCTATCAGGCCAGTCAAATGTTTCTTAATACTATCTTAAGAATCCTAGCCATCAACATGGAGAGGATATACATCAGCAGGTCTCAACCCTTCTGACAGAAGAGAAAACTGAAGTTTAGAGAGCTTTGATAACCTGGTTAAAACCACAGAGACAACAAGTAATAGGGCCAGGACTTGAATGCACATGTTCTTTGCTCAACAATACCTTCTGCCTGTCAACTAGCAGCAACTTAATCTCAAAAGCAATTTCTCCATCAACTGGAGAAAAAAAAATACTTTTTTAAAATCCCAGATATAATTCAATCAAGATCAAATACTAGGCATTCAAACATGAGACAAGGATTTCAAAGTTAAGGCGGCTTTTACTATGCAGTTATAGAAACCAGAGTCTGAAATTCTTGCAGGGCAAGAGTCACTACTTAGACCAGAAATGTCAGGTAGTAAGTTTGAAAGGAACATGCCACTTAAATTATGAATACTTATTGACTTGAAGGAAATAAATCAACATTTGGAGGTTATCTCCCAGTTCTATCGATTTTGGTGCAAAGGACATGATTTAATTCTCCTTTATGGCTGAATAATACAACACTGGGCATATATACCACATTTTCTTTATCAATTAATCTGCAACAAGAACCTAGGCTAGTTCTTTATCTTAGCTATTGTGAATAAAGCTGTAATAAACATGGTCATGCAGATATTTTTCTTCTAATTTCATATATACGTTGGAGTGGGATAGCTGGATCATATGGTAGTTTAGATTTTGAGGAATCTTCATACCATTTTTCATAGTGGCTCTACTAATTTACATTCTTGCCAACAGTGTATAAGGGTCCCTTTTTCTCCACAACTTCACCAACATTTTTTATACTAACCATTCTAATTAGGTGAGATTATTATAGTTTTCATTTCTTTTCCTTAATGGCTAATCATATGAATATGTTTTCACATATTTGTTGGCCATCTGTATTCCTTCTTATGAGAAGAATCTATTTAGATTATTTCCCTCTTTTTTAAATTGGGTTCTTTGTTAAGCATTATGAGTTCTTTATATATTCTGGATTCCAGTTGTCAGATGAATAGCTGGAAAATATATTCCTCGATTCTATAGGTTGTACTTTCATTCTGTTGATTGTTTCTTTTTAAGTGAAGAAGCTTTTTGGGATGATGTAATCCAATTTGTCAATTTTTACTTTGGTTTTCTAGATTTTTGAGGTTCTACCCAGAAAATCTTTGCTTATGTCTTAAAGTGTTTTTCTGTATTTTCTTCTAGTAGTTTCAGGTCTTATACTCTTTATATAAGTTGATTTTTGTGAAGGGTAGAGATTGGGATTAAGTTTCAATCTTACAAATGGAGCTATTCAGTTTTACCAGCACTGTTTGCAAAGAAGCTATACTTCCTCCTGCCTCTCCTGACTCTTAACCGTTCCCTCCATTATTCATTTTACTAGCCTTACTGGCCTCCTCACAGAAGTATCAAATAAGCCAACTTATTCCTGACTCAGGCCCTTTTACTAGTATGGTAGTTTCTTTAGTCTCATAACACATTTCTTTATTTGATTCCAATATTAATGAGCACTTTTTGAATAACCATATCTAAAATAGTTCCCCTATCTTGTCACACTCTAGTTCCGGCATTGGGAAAGCAAAGCCTGAGGGACAGATCAAGTCTGTTACTTGTTTTTGCAAATAAAATTTTATTGGAACATAGCCATACTCAATTGTTTACATTATCAATGATACAATGGCAGAGATGAACACCTACAATAAAGCCATGTGACCCTTTACAGAAAAAACTGCCAATCACTGCTCTCACCCATTAGTCTACCTTATGTTTTCTTTATACCTGATTATTGTCTCATTTTGTTTTGGTTTTGTTTGAGACAGGGTCTCACTATGTAGTTGAGACTGACCTGGAACTCACTATGTAGTCCACGCTGGTCTTGAACTCACAGCGCTCCTCCTGCTTCAGCCTTCCAAGTGCTAGGATTGCAGGTGCGCGCCACCACACCCAGTTTATTGTCTTTTCTATTAGTGTTCTAGAGCTAAGTTCTACACAGGTATCACTTTGTTCAATGAGAACTATAATCTAAATCAGAGTAGGTATTAAATTCTTGGGAAGGTACCAAGGTATTATACTATTCATTTATATTATAGGCTTTATTTAGATCTCATAACAATCCTTTGGGATCATTACAATTATATAATAAATGAGAAAACTGAAGTGTCTAGATTAAGTGACAGAGGGCCAGGGATTTAGCTCAATGATTCCGCTTCCTACCTCACAAGCACAAGGAGCCAAATTCAATCCCCAGTACCAAAAATAATAATAATAATAATAATAATAATAATTAAGTGACAGAGCCAGGATGCAAATTTAGATTTGCTGGATGCTAAAGACCATATATTTAACCTCTATTCTATTCATAGTCCTTTCTAAATTACTTTTTACATACAAGAAAACAGTATATTTTCTCATTTATTCACATTACTTGTAAATGTGCATAGTTTCTTCAAATAAGCACTGTGCTTTGCTTATGAAGGTAGTCACTGCTATTTTGTACTATGTATTGTAATTATGAACAAATTTTCAATTACATTTTCTAGTTGATGTTGCTATGTGAAAATTAGTAATAACTGTCCATTCAACTATTTTTTGCACACCTTAATTCTAAGAATCAGTTGATGCTCTTGGAAATTCTAACTGCACAATTATGCATTAAAAATAACAAATTTTGCCTACCAAACTGTTAAAAGCAGCTACTTTAATTTTGTGTTTGTTTTTTTTTCTTATGGAATGGCCAAAAATTTCATAATAACATTAATTAATAATGATCAGAGAAGGTACTCTTTTCTTAACCATGATTTTCCATTGAAATGTTTCTAAATGTTATGGTTTAGATTTAAAATATCCCCCAAAGTCTCATGTATTCAGACATAGGGCTGCTGGAAGGTAACTCTCTCATGGGGTGTTATACTCCTCAGTGGACTATTCATTGAGTTCTTAGGTAAAGGTGCTGTCAGGACAAGGGGTTAAAGAAGGTCACTGGGGCCATGATCTAGAAGAGTGCATTCTTTGTCTGTCTGTCTCACTCCTTTCCTCTTTCTGGCTTCTTCACTTCTTGGCTGCCCTGGATTGAGCAGGGTTCCCCCACTGTGCCTTTCCACCATACTGTGCTATTTCTGCCTGGCGCCAACTGATCATGAACAATCTTCTGAAACCATGAGTCAAAGTAAACCCCTTCTCTCTGAACTTGCAGTGTCATGAATTTTGTCCCAGAAACAAGAAAGTGGCTAATATACACGAAATAAGACATTGCCTATTATGTTACAACATCCTATTTCTAGTTTTCAGTGAGTTCTTAATCTTACATAGGTTGAGCATATTTAATTCAAAAATCTGAAATCTGAAACATTTGAGTTCTGACAGCAACAAAAATTTTTCAGATTTTGGAGTGTTGTGGGTTTCAGATTTTTGAATTGTGGATGCTCCTCCACCAGTAAAGCCTATGCAAACACTCCAAAATCCAAAAAATTCTGAAATCTGAAACACTTTGGTCTCAAGTATATGAGATAAGGGATCCTCAACTTATGTATCAAGAAGGACTGTCTAATTTTATAGAGTATCCTCTAATTTCATATGGATGAAATGATGTAACATAATAGAAAATCTAAGCCTGGATTTTTAATGTTGCTTTCATGTTGTATGGTAAAGGAGGAATTTCATCACCAAATTCAGTTTTATAAAATGTCAACTGAAACTCCATTAAAAAAATAATTTGTCAGCCATAACACTGGTACCAGTCTTCTTCAGAGTTGTAAGGAATTTTATAAATCAGAATTTGGAAGTCAGCTCAAAAACTGCAACTATCAAACAAGAAAAATGAATCAATGAAGATTTTTTTTTTGTACCAGGGACTGAACTCGGGTCCTTGTGCTTGCAAGGCAGGCCACCGAATCTCTGAGCTAAATCCCCAGCCCTATCCATGAAGATTTTGAGACCATTACCTTCTGAGGATCAAGCTTGCCCAGGACTACCTCCATGAAATCTTCATCTGAAATTATGATGGTTGTATCAGTAGAGCCTTCTGCAGGACCTTGGTACACTTTTCCAGAACCATTTTTCAGATCAATAGCTGGGAAAAATAGGAAAATAACAATGTGTATCACTCCCCCTCCCACAATATGACAAAGTTTTTAATTTTTAAACAAAAAGATTAACTATCCCAGAAACAGGCCCAGTAACTGAACTATTGAAAAATATAACTTTATTGCTATCTATACATTTATAGGACTTTAAACTAAAATTATACTTTAGAAAGTCTGAAGAGTTGTATGTATGATTGAGAACATGCATACAGGAAAGCCAGTTCTATACATGAATGTACTTCCTCTTACTCCAGTAGAGGAGCTGTCATCCTACCACTCTCTCTAGAATGTGTAGCTGAGGGTCAAGAGAAAGCTACACATACACAGGAAAACCCACTGCATATAGCATTCTGCTTAGTCAGTCTTCATTGGCAATTATATGAAAAGACCTTTAGCATATGTATTATTGGTATGGCAGTAAACAAAGGGGAGGAGGGAAGAGACTAGGTGGAAAAAAAATTTTTTTTAGTACAACGGATTGAAACCAGCCCTTTGTTATTTTTTAATTTTGAGACAAGGTCTGAAGTTGCCCAGGCCAGATCTGAACTTTCATTCCTTCAGCCTCAACCTCCCAGAGTGCTAGGCTACACTACACCTAACACTACACTCAAAGGGAAAGGAAGATGTTACACAAAATCATGCTCCTGCATTCAACAGATTTAACGATAGTTATGCACAAGCCTGAAGCCGTTTATTACATATAAACACTTCTATATATACTTATGTACATATATGTATATATACTTGTGTGTGTATGTGTGTGTGTATACATAAAAAGTAGGTAAACCCCTCCACGGTCCTTCGGGAAAGGAGCCAGTGAACCAGGGGGCCGGTGGGGGTTTGGGCCGCTGCTGTGCAGGGAGCGGGGCGGGCTGGCCAGAGCTGTGCGGCAGTTCCTGTGCTGTCAGGTGTGGAAGGCCCTTCCCCAGAGGGGCAATGGTTCTCCCCTGAAGCACTTTGTGCTGGCTAAGAAGTAAATTACTACAATCTTTGGACAGTTACTTGAGTTTGTTACTGAAGGATCACATTTTGTTAAAGCAACATATAAGAATCCATAACTTGATAGAATAACCACTGAGGATGATCGGCTAGAAATACAGGAGTATAAAAACACACTTTCTGTTATTGGTGAGGCGCTATCTCGGAGACACATGAAAGGTGCACTTTTTGGCAGGACAAGCAGTGAAAAGAGCTCTGTTATCAATGAAATGTTATGGGGTAAAGTTCTTCCTAGTGGGATGGCCATATGACCAAGTGCTTCCTGAGTGTCGAAGGAATTGGACATAAAGCCTACCTCATGCCAGAAGGATTGGATGATAAAATGAGGACGAAGACAGTTAATAGCTGGCCCATGCCCTCCACATGTGCAGTCTTGAAAGCTGGCTGTCTTATGCATGTGTTTTGGCCAAAGGCAAAATGTGCCTTCTTGAAAGATGACCTGGTTTGAGTAGACAGTCCAGGCACAGATACCAAAACAGAGCTACATAGCTGGATTGATAAGTTTTGCCTCAATGCAGATGTCTTTGGTTCGGTTGCAAACTCTGAATCAACACTAATGAACACGGAGAAGCAGTTTTTTCACAAGGTGAATGAACAACTTTCCAAGACTAATATTTTCATTCTGAATAATTGTTGGGATGCCTCTGCACCAGAGCTAGAATATATGGAAGATGTATGGAGACAACACATGGAAAGACTTATGCATTTCTTGGAAGAACTCAAAGTTGTGGATCCTTTGAAAGCACAGAATCATACCTTCTTTGTTTCAGCAAAGGAAAATCTTAGTGTTACAAAAGACAAAATATAGGGGTGCCAGAAGGTGGTAGGGCACTTGCTGAAGGATCTGAGGCAAGGTTACAGGAGTTTCAGAACTTTGAACAAATTTTTGAATACTGTATCTCACAGTCAGCAGTGAAAACAAAGTTCAAACAGCACACTGTCAGAGCTAAGCAGATACTAGACACTGTGAAAAACATAGTGGAGTCAATGAATGTGGCAACAGAAGAAACAAGGGTTTATTCAATGGAAGAGAAAATCAAATTAGTAGACTGGACTTTATTTGAAATCAAATGAATTTTTTAACACTGGAAGTTAAGAAAAAATCAAGGAAGTTACTGAGGAGGTGGCAAATAAAGTTTTGTGTATTGGCTGGCTGTTTTGGTTGATGAATTTTGTTCTGAGTTTCATCCTACTCCAAGTGTATTGAAAGTATTAAAAAGTGAGTTAAATAAATATATAGATGTTACGGGAAGAAATTTGGCTAATCAGTGCACCATGAAGTCAATGCCTCAATGCTTCAATACCAGCAAAAAATTACTGAAAATGATACACAGAATAAACTTCATACAATGATTCCTTGCAAGAAGTTTGATCTTAGTTATGACCTAAATTGACATGTTATGATCAGATTTTCAAGAAAATATTGTATTTCATTTTTCCCTAGGCTGGTTATCCCTTGTGCATCGATTCTTGGGCCCCACAAATGCTCAGAGAGTGCTACTTGGATTATCAGAGCCCATCTTTCAAGTCCCTAAATCTTTAGCTTCAACTCCCACTGCACCTACTAATCCAGCAACGCTGGATAATACATCACAGGAAGAACTCATGGTAACCTTAACAGGATTAGCTTCTCCTACATTGAGGACTTCTATGGGCATAATAATTGTTGGAGGAGCGATTTAGAAAGCTATAGGTTGGAAACTCGTGTCTGTGTCATTAAGTATGTATGGAGTGCTGTATCTTTATGAAAGGCTGACCTGGACCATCCGTGCCAATCAGCGAGCCTTCAAACAGCAATTAGTGAACCATGCTACTGAAAAAACTGCGGATGATTGCTTCACAAGGGCAAACTGCAGCCACCAAATAGAATAGGAAATGGTTACCACTTTTGCTCGCCTGTGCCAACAAGTCAATATTACTCAAAGGCATCTGGAAGAAGAAATTGCTAGGCTGTCCAAAGAAATAGATCAATAGGAAAAAATACAAAACAATTCAAAGCTTTTAAGAAATAAAGCTGTTCAACTTGAAAATGAGCTGGAGAATTTTACTAAGCAGTTTCTGTGTTAACGCAATGAATAATCTCAAAAATAGAGATTGCTTTGGTGACCATGATAGGAGGAAACAGAACTTGGAAGATGGGGACAGTTGTCATTTTTATGAAATGACTTCAGTATGAATTACACTAACTGTACTAAATAGCAAATCCCTGTGTAGATTCTGGTAATTATCTATGCAAAGTGTTTGCATTTCTGAAGAATGTCATGGTAGGTCTTTAGTTTTAATTTAGGGTTTAAAAAGAGACAAAATTGTTTGTGTTAATAACTATGTGATCAGTGATATATGCGCACCCATGTTTATAGTGGCACAGTTTGTAATAACTAAAACTTGGAAACAGCCCATCTGACCACCAATTGGAAACTGGATAAAGAAGATGTGGTTTTTCTACAAAATGGAATACTACTCAGCCATACAGAATGAGAAAGTACATTCATTCATAGTTAAATGGGTACATTTTGAGGATATACTTCTAAATGAAATAAATAAGGCACACATATGCAAATATCGAATAGTATTTCTGGTGTGAAAAACTGTAATAGTACTCAAGATCCTAATGGGACCCTTAGCAAATAGAAAGAAAAGGACCAAAGGTGTAGGGACAGTGAGAAGGACAGGGAAGGGAGAATAAGGGAAAAGGAAAACAATATGAGAAAATGTAAAAATGGAATTAAAGTGTTTGAAGGCGGGGAGGGGAGGGTGAAGGGAGGATGGGGACAAGGGGAAAAAATGAGAACCAAGACCTGTCATGTAAAGGTACGAGATCCCAGTAATGAATGTAACTGTACTGTCTACCTAGAATGTACCAATAAATTAAATTAAAAACAAAATAACTATGTGATCCCTGAAGGGTGGGTCACTGAGTTCTTCATTAGGGCTTGCTTTATTTCTGATTCTGAAAAACTCTGCTTCCTGGCATCCAGGAGTTGGAGAGTGATCCTTTTTTGTCTTCTTTCTCAAAACTAGTTTTTGAAGCCCTCTTTAATGGGACTAGTCAGTTTTTTGTTTTATTTTATATGCTGCATTGCTCTAACCAACCAACATTGTGGAATGTTCTTGAGTGTGTTATTTATGCAACTTAATCTCTTGGGCATTGTGGCAATATGTAAACCACTAATAAATACAGTTTTACCCCTACTTTTAAACTGAAAAAAAAGTTTTTAATATATATTTGTGTGTGTATACATATATATATATTTCTTGAGATAATATATATATTTCTTGAGATAATATATATATACATATATTAGCAATAAAATTGCACCACACATAGTCTTACTCCTGTAGACTGCCATTAAGCTAAGTTATTAACAGTTCTTAGCTGTCTACTTTCCCTCTCACTCACAGGCATCTTTACAGGCTGTTTCATAACTATAGTCTTTCAAGTGTCCAAAGTTCTTTACGGAAAGCTAATAACTAGTGCTGAAAAAAGAAGGCAAAGAAAGTAATGGTCCTCAACAAGAATACAAAAATTGGGAGTAAATGCTAGTCATATTCTACAATATGGCTTACACAGGGAGAATCTACCATTACCTGCAACTTATGGATAGATATCTATAAGGTCTGGCCAATCTTAGTGTAAAAATGAAGAAACTGATGGCAAACAGTTTCTTTTAGTGTCCAGATTTAAATTTTTTATGAATAATTTTAACTATATAATCATTAAGGCTCTGAAACAGTTCATTAAAATTTCAGACAACAGCTTTTAGTGAAGGAAGGTTAAAGGTATTAAATAAGAATGTGATATTTCAAAAGGTGGTGTTGTAAATCACAAAGAGCTACTACAGAAGAAAAGAGCTACTTTTGCTATGTGTGTCTCCTACCCTGAGGGTTATCAGGTTTTTGTGGGCACAGATACATCATGACTTTGTATCCCATGTACTTCTTTGAAAGGAAAGTTTAGGAACTGTTTGTGAAATGGGTGACTAGATAAAGACATGAAATAAGAATCTATCAAAAAAAATAATAAAGGGGAAACAGGTTAAAATTAAAATTTTAAAAATAAGCAATGTTTTTGTGCTGTTTTCTGCTAAAATTCAAGAATAAACATCAAATAAATACAAACTAAGAAACATTCTATAAAACAACTGCCTCCACTCTTCAAATATACTGTGTTTCAAGGTCATTTAAAAACAGAAACAAGGCCAGGGATTTAGCTCAATGGTTCCGCCGCCTGCCTTGCAAGCACAAGGTCCCAAGTTCAATCTTCTGTACCATAAATAAATAAATATATACATACATACAGAAACACATCTCTTCACAGCCTTTTGGCTAAGATCAAATGTAAAAAAAAATAAACACATCCAGACAGAAGTAGACTAAAGAGAATAAATGCAGGGCTGAGTCTCAAATTAAGCCACTAATCACTCCCCCACCTTTATTCCTATCATTGTTATCACTATCAGTATTCTTTTGCTACAAATTGGGGCAATTAATGAAGTTATTAATGCAGTCTACAGGTTAGATAACAAGATATCAATTTTATATTCCTAATATTGATAACTGCTCTGTGAATAGATAAGGGAAATGTCTGTATTCTTAGGAAATGCTACTGAACTAGCCTTTACCATTAGGATACCACATCGGTACAAATTATAAGTTACTCTTATAAAATGGGATAAAAATTTTAACAATTTGGAAAAACTAAAGGACATTATTTTGAATAAAAAATTATAAAATGATGTTATTAAGAATAATAAAGGGCCAGGGATTCAGTTCAGTGATTCTGCCTCCTGTCTGGAAAGCACAAGGTCCCAAGTTCGATTCCTGGTACCAAAAAAAAAAAAATAATAACAGATATAGAAGGAGAAAAGCTGCAATTATTTTAAGTGATCTTTAACAAGTGCTCTTATGTGTACCTTTGAAAGCAAATGCGCATGGAAATGTAGTCAGGGGCTGCTACTATATGGGGAGAGCAGTCACTGTTGCTAAGGAAACATTCCAACAAACAGGCCCCCATTGCTGACTGGAAAGCACATTTCTTTCCTAAGGCCATCTTTTTCTTTAAATGCATGCTATACTCTTCTGAATCTCAATCCAAAATGTAGGACCAATATCTTTAAGATTTATTTTATATCTGAGCTGAGAGACCCTAAAAGATAATCTGGTTTGACTGCTAGAATCACAAAAATCAGGAGTTCACATGCTGTGACAATCAAATGGTATCTTCAAGAATACCACTGATCTCAAAAGAATGCCAGTTTCCAAATCTCTGGTGCATTTTCTCGTCTCCTCTACCCATTATCTTCAACAATTCTGTGCTTGTAATTAATTCAATATCTAACGTACTTTCACCCATAGGGGAAAAGCTTAATCCCACCATGGAGGAATATAAAGGAGGAAGGAAAGATCAAAGTACAGTGATGACTCCTTGCATATGCTGTTAATCTTCAAAAAGTCAGGCACTAAGAAATATATGAGGTGTGATAAAAAATACAGTGAGTTTCAATATTAAAACTTACAGTAAAAGATACATGACCATTAATCCCACTCAAAGTACTCACCCTTGCTTCAAACATACTTCTCCCATCATTCTTGCCACTTTCTGAAGTAGTTCTGCAAGTCCTCTTTCATGTAGTTGGCATTATCATGGCTGCCTCAATGTCCTGAATCAATCCAAACATTTACCTTTCATGGTCATTTTGACTTTGGAGAAGAGCCACAGTCACATAGTGACAGATGTGATGAATAAGGTAGATGAGTAAACTTTGCAATGTTTTTACTAATCTGCCTTTCCAAACAATGGCATCTGACAGCAGTATTCACCATATTTTTGATTACACCTCATAAAGATGCTCACAAAGACTTCCAGAACTGTTTCAGAAAGTGGTTAAAATGATGGGATAAGTGTGTTTGAAGTGAAGGAGTGTTTTAAGGGGAATTAACAGTAATGTCTTTTATCGTAACTTTTTTTCTATTTACCTATGCACCATGTGTTTTGATTGGTCCTTGCATTACAGACAGATCTTGTCTCCCTTTTATTCTCCACTCTAAATTAACTTCCTATAAACACAAATATCTCCCAGAACAAAAAACAAAAGATTAATTGTGGGTACTGGGATTATACATCATTATTTTTCTTTATACTATTGTATAACAAGTTGTATATAATGAACATATGCTACCTAAAAGGAACAGCAAATATTAAAAGAAAGTGGTTTATACTAAACAAAACTTTAAAATGTTTTCTAAGAATAGACTATTTCAAAAGTTCCATTTGATCTAGGTATGCTAGGTTTTTGGTCTGAGATACTCTTAAAGGCAATCTCAAAATAAAAATAATGAAACTTTTTAATATATTAGTTTCTGCTGTGCAAGTAAAAACCCAAACCTATCACTTTTCTTTTAATCTGTGTAGATACATTACTTATATGGTGCACAAACAACACCAAGTGAAAAGATGGTTCATTCCATCACTTAAAGAGCTTCCAGAATCACGCCCTACAGCCCTTGATTTCAGGTAACAATGCATTCTACTACATTTAATACACCAGCTTGCTGTCTGCAGACAACTACAACTAAAGTTAAATGGTCCTAGAATATAAACAAATCACAAACCTCTGGAAGTCCCACATCTTTCCAGGAGCACTTAGCCAATCCGTACATGGTCTCCCACTGTCTCTCACTATTATTAAAAACAGGAAAGGTCCTTTGAGCTATAAACTACCCTAGATGCTTCTTCCTCCACATTAGTAAGCAGATTCAGGGTACCACAGCTGCTTGACAAACAGTAAAAATCCTGTCCCGTTTATTCGTCCAGATAGAAAAGTACAAAAAGTCAGAAAGTTCCAGTGAGCATTCAACTAATATAATTCCCCAACAACTACAGGGATCAGAATACTCTGAAACATAACAATTAAGGTCACACAGCAGATGTGGAAGACCTGGTAACATTTTTTTCTATTCTCTTTATTTTCTAAATTTGTCTGTCTTCATAAAATGGTGGCAGGGTCTCTCTGGACCTCTGTGTTAGTGCATCTCTGTGGTTTATGTTGGGTGCTTGGCCAGCTTGCAAACATGATACTGTATTCTCTTGGATAATTTTCCTGGACAGATAAATAAGCACCTCTGATTGCTATCTGTATGCATCGAGCAAATAATTATGATTTCAAACTAATAAGATAATTTATTGTTTGGGGATAAAGAAAACAATTCTTAAATTGTCAATTAAAATAGTTCAACTGACCAAAGAAAGTTGAAGATTTGTTTTTTAAAAAAAAGTTCCCAGCCAGGCATGGTGGAGCATTCCTGTAATCCCAGCACTCGAGAGGTTGAGGCAGGAGGATCTGGAGTTCGAGACCAGCCTGGGCTACACAGTGAGTTCCAGGGCAGTCTCAACTACATAGTGAGACCCTGTCTCAAAAAAACCAAAAAAATAAAAATTTAAAATTAAAAATAAAAAAAGTTCCCCAGTACAAGAAAAAAAATTTTTTTAATTTTTAAAAATGCAACTAACACGACTGTTTTAAAGTACAGTAGCATCTCAGTTGTAAGGCCCCCTTCAATGTCACATGCCAAAGATGCTCAAGACCCTTACATAGAGTAGCACTGCATTTGCATACAATGCAAATATTCCCTTATACTTTATTAGGACATGATTTCAGTATATGATGATTATATTTATCATGCGGAGTTGTTACATGTAAGTAACGCATCTTGATAATTTTTACTTTCCCTTCTTCCCTTCCTCATCTCCAGATTACTTGTAACACCAGATATAATATAAACAGTTGTTTTACCTTTACAAGTTCAATACAAATGCATCATTTAGACCTTATTACATTTCCATGTGTAGTTGTCTGAATCTGCAGGTGTGGAATGGAAACAGTACTAATGTTAGATACTACAATGAAATATTTTACATGGATGTTTTAATTTTTTTGCTGCATGTCTTTTAAAAAAAAAAAAAGAACTATCACTGAGAACTGAGCACGATGAAACCTGTTAGGTAAAGTTTTGTTTTGTTTGTTTAGCTAAGTTTACCTACCTACAAAGAGATTGTCTTTTTTTTGGTACCAGGGATTGAACTCAGGTCCTTGTGCTTCCAAGGCAGGCCACCGAACCACTTAGCTAAATCCCCGGCCCCCTAGATTGTCTTTAATTATAACAAGAATATTTTTACCTCTGTTAAGAATTATCTTAAAGTATTAAGGAAATCACCAACGACTTACTCCACTTAGCTGCAGTATTTCCACCTTTAGTAATATGCCATTCAAATACAGCATTTACTTTCTTTACCACCTCCTTTCCGACATCCTTAAGCCGACGATTTATTTCCTCAAATACAAGAGTACTCTGCAGCTCCCCACCCTGGCAAAATGAGAAAATATTACTAAAAATTATTTTCTTTAAAATATGGTACATCACTAAGAGGATTCATCAGAATTAAAAAGATATATATATATATATACATAAAAAAAACTAACCACCCCACCACCCTCCCTGGACTAGGGACTAAACTCTGGAACCCAATACTTTCTCACTGAGATACATCCCAGTCCTTTTTAAAGTTTTTATTTTGAGACAGGGTCTTGCTCAATTACCCAGACTAGGATCAAACTTGTAATACTCTTGCCTTAGTCACCCAAAATTCAAGGAATATTTTAAAAGTAAACTAGGAACTGGACAGGACGATACTGAACAAATCAATTTCTGTGGTCTTATTTTTGTTTATTGGGACTAAATTACCAGAAGCCTGAATTTCTTCCCTGCTCTTCAGAGATTTTACTTTTTAGGCAGTTATATAAGAAGGTTTATGGCAGAAAATTAAGGCCCATAGATAAGAAAATCTCAACATTTTCAAGTTAATATTTTGGAAACAAAACATAAACTTTTTTATCAAATATCTCAGCATGTTAATAGAAGATACAAATATTTCAATAAATATTATATAATCTTTTCATATTTATATAGAGTACACACAAAATATTTAAATCAAGAAAAGGTACAGGATATTTAAACTTTTCATCCATTTCCATCCAACATACTCTATGGTTTCTCATTAAACAAGTGATTTAGATGCTCTAAAAGAAAATATTTTCTGAAAAATGTCTTTCACATTAAGAATTATGATTTTTTGATACTCTTTAATTTTCTAAAATAATCTGAACATTCTTAAAATGATAGCCAACTCATTTCCTTGCTTATGAATTTGTTATCAGTATTTATAACCTACCTCAGGGTGTTTCTTAGCTGGAATCCCAGATGGTGGTAGAAGATCTACATATGCATTTGAAATGACAATATCTCCAGTTTCTTGAATCTTATAAGTAGAATAAAAGAGGAAAAAGAACAGTTCATCATAAGATTTTACTGTAAACAATTTCTGTGAAATGCTATTTAAAATAAATTCATATTTTTGTCTCATGTTACAAAGAAAATAACCTAAATAAAGTAAAAAGTAATTAAATGATAAGAGAAATAAATGTGAAGGCTTTCTAATTTAATACGACTGTTATTATTATTATTACTATTATTATTTTCTCTTTTTTTGGCTTTTTGAGACAGGGTCTCACTATGTAGTTGAAACTGACCTGGAACTCACTATGTAGAGTCTTTTTTTGGCTTTTTGAGACAGGGTCTATGTAGTTGAAACTGACCTGGAACTCACTATGTAGCCCAGGCTGGTCTTGAACTCACAGCGATCCTCCTGCCTCAGCCTCCCGAGTGCTGGGATTAGAGGTGTGCGCACCACCATGTCTGGCTAATACAACTATTAATGCTGGCTGTAAAACAAATGAAGCCTTAAAGAAAAAAAAAAAGGCTATGACTGGGCCCCATTCCCTAAAACACCAATTTAAATGGCATGGCCTACAATGGAGCCACCAGATTGGTATTTTGGGAAAAAAATTTTTTTTCCAAATATATAAGTGTTTTTAATGGGAAGCAAAGTGAGAAGTGTTAAATTCTTATGAATAGTAAAAAAAATGGCATAATAGCCACCCAAAGCACATTTTTTCCTGTTAGTATACTGAAACAGTGCTATTTATGTAGTGATTTGAGTTCTTATTTCAACCTGGAATTATACATGGCATAAAATGAATTTCTAAATATCCTTTTATCAAAATATCCATTAAAATAATTCTAATTCATAATCCTTTATTTCAAATTATTCCAATGCCTATTCTTTCATAAAAATTACAGTACAGCTATAAAAGATAAAGATAATTTCTAAAAGTTTAGGTAGTACTTCATTAAAATTTTGATTATCAATGAAGGAGTTTTCTCAACATGGTAACCAATTTATTTTCCTTGCATTATCCTTTTATTTGCACTACAGACTATTATATATGATAAGAATATACATTTAAGTCAAACAGCTCTTTCAGGAAATATAAAATAAAAATTCTAGTGATGGGGGAAAAAAAGATAATGATACAATACACAGAGGCCTGGGACTTAAGCTTGGGAGACTATGACCTGAGTTTTTAATCCCAGCTCAACCACTTGCTGTGTAGCCATGAGCAAGTTATTTACAACATCAAGAATTTGCAGGATTGAACTCATGAGCTTGTGTTTGTAAGGCAGGCACAGTGCCACTGAGCTAACTCCCTGGTCCCTATCAAGAATATTTTATGAACAGAGATTTTCTTTTATTTCAATGCAGTTCTTATGTATATTAAACACTGTAATACAGTCTGTTTATAGTGTCTCAATAAATAAAAGCTGTTACTACTACTGGAGTTGTTAAATCTGCTCTATGTAATACAACATGATCAAGACAAAATGTATTAGCTGAGTAAATGTGTTAACAAAAATTATTTTAAGAAACTTACAAATAAAACAATGAATGTCTTTTTAGTGTAATATACCTTTATCTGGCTTGTCATTTACTATTAGAGCCCAGACTTTAGTTTGTGGATTACTGTTTGAACAAGAAGCATATGATCTCCGTCTAGAAAAAATAACTATGAAGAATGTAATTTTATTGTTCTGCAGGATTTAAATAGCTTGGGCTCTAACTCAGCAAAATTATTTTACGGTGTCTTTCCTGTTAGACTATATCAGGTATTATTCTAATTCTCTTTTGAACCAGTTTTCCCATATTGCAAGACCCTTAGTACTTTTAAAATAAAATAAAAAAACAAGGTGCATAAGGTATCTTATGTTCATTTACAAATTATCACTGGTTAAAAGAAAAAAAAACTTTCTAAGTTTTGTCTCTTAAGTTTTGTCTCAAATCCATATTACAAAAAACAAAAAAACTAAAGAAAATCTGGTAAGAGGTACAAAAAGTCAGGTGTGGTGAGGAGGGTAATAAAGTAAAGCGCTTCCAACTCTTTTCATACCTTGGTTTGAAAATGAATTCTGTTATCTTCCTTCCACATCTCAGTTTGTAGAGTTTGTCCTGGATATACTGGTTTTGCAAAACGAGCCTTAAAAAAAAAAAAAGTCAGTTGTAGAATTAAAAATGCTTTGCTGAGCATGGTGGCACACAACTATAATCCCAGCACTCAGGAGGCTGAGTTCCAGACCAGCCTGGGCTACATAGTGAGTTCTAGGTCAGTCTCAACTATATAGTGAGACTCTGTCTCAAAAAACCAAAAAAAAAAGCTTTAAAAAATTCTACTTGTGGTGGGAAGGGATGTGATGGTAGATCAGAGTGCATAAAAGAAAACAGAGGTTTAAAGATATCTGGACAAGTGAAAGACCTAAAAGTAATATGAGGAAACCAGTAGAGAAAGCATACATAGCACCAAAAAAGTGAACAAATTCTTTGTTTCAAAGTACAGAATTATTAAGTAATGGTTTTTCTTGACATACCAAGAAACAAAACCATATTGAGTAACTACATAGGTAAACACCACAACAGCTAAAAGAAAATGTAAAAGGTGGCACTTATTAAATATGGAGGAATGAGGCCTGAAAAGGGTATATAGGGCAAAATAACTCTACCTTTTAGTTTATAATTTCCTGTAATATTTTGGTTCTTTGTGTACATTATTGGATAATAAAATAGCTAAAATAAAATAAAAAGCAGTATTACCAAGGGCAAGGCATTAGAAAATGTATTTTTAATGTTGCATAAAATGGATACTAGGGGCCACAGATTTAGCTTAGTGGTGCTACCACCTGCTCTGCAAGCGCAAGGTCCTGAGTTTGATCCCAGTACCAAAAAAAAAAAAAAGGATATGGATACTAATAAAAGGTCTGGAGCTATTTGACACTACCTTCAATGTTTTAAGTGTTCATCTTTGACTTACAGAAAAATACTGTGGACACAGATACTTTCCTTTATTACATACAAGGGATAAAAACCAACAAAAACATCAAAACTTACAAGCAATATGCAGCCATCATATTCCTATAGGTATATGTTTATTAGAGTTCAAATACATACATCCATGTAATATTTTCAGATAAAGGCAAATTTAAAAATGGGGAAAAAAGCAAATCTTTTAAGCTTTTTAAAGCACATAGGTTGATATATGTATATTCCTAATTAATTTATAAAACCAATTAATCTGTTAAAACTATAATTGTATTATATGGTGTCTAGGTAATGCAGCTAATTATAACTACAAAAAGAAAATGTGCCAAATGTCAACTCAATGAAAAAAAAAATACCTGTTGTCACAGTGTAACAGCTATTTTAAATTAAGTCACTAAAAATTCCTTTTTTAATCATTGAAAAAGAACTAATGTTCAAATTATACATATACCTTAATTGACTTGAACCTTGATACATCATTATCTGCAAACTTCTGTAAAACATGCCTGGCAGAAAATCCAAAGGTACATAATCCATGTAATATGGGTTTCTCAAATCCTAAAAAAAGAGAATTTAGATAAAAATAGGTATTTTTCATATTTAATAACAAGTGTACAGTTAATTCAAGATTTTAAAAATAGAACTTTATGGCTGAGGATTTAGCTCAGCGGTTCCACCACCTGCCTTGCAAGCACAAGATCCTGAGTTCAATCACTGGTACCAAAAATAAATAAATACATAAATAAAAATAAAAAAACAACTTTAAACTGCAGTATAATAAATTATATTATCTATTTTAAGAAATATGGAAAATATTTTGTAAGTGGTCCTTCCTGGGAGAGAAAAACAGGAAAAGAATGTGAGAGATTTGGGAATAGAAAAACTATGAAAATCACTGATGGTGATTTTTTTTCAGTATCCATGCAGATAAATGATCCCTCCCTAACCTTTCAGTTCCTTGCTATCTCTTTTCTCATCCTTCCTGATATCTCAGACACCCTGCCCCCACCATCCTGTCCTGAAGCTGGCTCACACAGAAGCTTCACTCTCCCATAATCTAAATTTCAAGTACACTATTTTCTCAGTATTACCTTTCCATATTCTTTGCCTAAATAAGAGAACTACATTTAAAATGTTACTCAAATTACTAGTCATAAGTAGCTGCTTAAGTATATTATTTAGATAACTGAGCTAATAATTTTCATTCATTATATATTAGCGACTCACCTGCAAGGTTTGCAAAGTTAGGGTCAATATGTAAAGGATTCCAGTCTCCACTGAGGCGGTACAAAGCAGCCTGTGAAAAAAGAATTACAAATGCTACTAGCATTCGGTATTTTCTAAGAAAACATTAAATGAAAGATAGGAAATATGGCTAGTTTTTGTGCAAAATGTACATCAAAATGTAACTAATCCAGGTTCTGATTTTAAAAATAATTATTAAAAAACAAGGCTGGGAATGTGGCTCACCAGGAGTCACATATACAAGACCATGGGTTCAATCCACAGAACCAACACCAAAAAACAAACAAAACAAAACCAATTACCCCTAAATTAAATGTTTTGAGTAATACCTTACACTGACATCATTAAAAGAGGGAGAAAGTGTGAGATTGTCAAATAGAAAAGGAAACCTAGAACTACATACCACTGCCTAAGAAGAAATTCCCAAAAAAGGAATTCAGTCTAGTCTCATTAAAACACAAAGATGAGTTAAATGTGTATAGTTGCTTCTAAACAGCATTCTTAATAGGGTATTTTAAATTGAAGCCTATAATACAATGTTATACCACAAATATCAAAGACATTTTACAATCTTTTATTCTTCTGTTATACTAAATCCTGAATATGTTTATCCTTCAAGAAAACAAACTGATAGCTTGCCTGTAAGTTTAAATTTATACTTAGCCCAGATTCTCACACTGCTAATTTACGTGGATAAGGTAGGATTAGTAGAAAGATTTAAATACAACAGAAAAAAGTCACTGTACTTCCTGGCATTTAAATTGTGCATTCTGCAAGCTATCCAGTATGTATGAGAATTAAAGGGAAGAAAGTCGCAAAACAGCTAATATTTAATGAATGTATATATTAACTTTACCCATGAGGGCTTACCTCAAAAATTCTTCCCTTTCACATCAAATACTGCACTGAGTCTTCCAAAACTATTAAAATGTTCTATAAAGATCAGCTATATCAGCACATCTGACTTTTAAAATTATTATTTTTAAACAAGTTTGATTTTCAGAAAATAACTATCTGTAATTCAGAAAACTTCATTTCCTTATATGCTCTGTATAATAATGAGCTCTTTTTTCCCCATTACTACGTATGACAGTTCTGTAAGTTACTTACTTTTTAAAAGACTCAATATATTTTTGTCTTCTAAACATAACTAAATTAAGTGCTGAACACTAGTGAGTTACAAAATTTTGTATAAGAAGTCAGAGGATTACATAATTTTTACAAGCTTTTTTTTGTTACTGAGGATCAAACTCGGGACCCTGCACTGATGAAGCAGGTGGTGGAACCACTGAGCTAAATCCCCAGCCCTATAAGCATTTATACACAGTGAAACACTGTGTACAAGTTATCATGCTGTATACCAATCAAGGACACCACACATTTCGGGCCTCAAGGGGAAGTTGTCAGATACATCATAGACAATATTCTTTGGCATGTGACAGACCTGGTTTCACATCCATCTGTACCATTCCTAGGGATGTTTCTTCACTACTCTAAGCCTTAATCCTTCTCCTTTGCGGGGGGGAAACCTGAGAATCTATAGACTTACTTTCACAGAGTAACGAAAAATTAAATGAGGTAAAGTTCACAAGGTTTTATCTATGATAAATATTAGTGTCTCAACAAATGCTTTTTTTAAAGATTCTGACAATATAAATCAAGCAAGGTTTAAAGATTAGTACTAGTCTTTGTATCTTACAGATATTCCTATAAATGAAAAAGATCTTGTAAAGAAATCATATTAATATGAAGTTCATATTATTTCAGTGCTGGCATTATTAGATAGCCAAGACAACAAGCCCAACATGAAAAATGACATAAGCCAACTGGATGATTGGATGGCAGACAATTCAAGCATGATACAAAATAAGTATTATCCAATAAATGAGGAATGATGCCAAGGCTCATTTTATAAATATTTTTTTAATTACTGGCATATTTTTAAAAGAAAGCTAAAATTTTCTTGTTTTGTTTCATTTCTCTTTCCATATAAAAATGATCACAACTAAAATAAGGAAAAGAACAGAAAAATAGCTGTGTCTTACTTGTGCGTTAAAATGAGTGGTAGGGTTTTAAGAATATAAGATTATTTCTTAATTTGACTTTTTAATATTTATCAAGTTGAGCTTAAATGCTAAATAAAAAGGCTCAGAAATTACTCCTTCTTAAGTCTTTACATGCTCCAAAAAAGTATACAGGTCAGGAAGAATCGATAAAGACACAGTATGAGTAAGACAAAAAAGCACATCCAAAACTTCAAATTCTAGCAATAGCAAAATAAGCACCAATATCCAGCTTCTCAGTCTCTTGAGCACTCTCTGAAAGCCACAGTGGAGAGGAGGGCAGCCGTGGAAGAAAAGAAGAGGAAACAAGGGAAAATCACTCCCAGATAAAGTCCACTGGAAGGGTAAAAATACTGAAAAGAATCCTGAAAGATTACAGCACTAACCACAGATAAAAGGACTAAATGTGTACAGGACTGCATACAGCAAACCCTGAAAATTATCACTTTTAGAGGAGAGAATAAAGAGATTCCCTTTTAAGACTGATGGTAAAGGAAAAAAGCAGCAAATTTATAATCCTGAAAGTTAAAACTAAAAAAAAAATTTAAATAAAACACTTCCCCAAAATACTCCACAGCTATATGCCATCCATTAAAGAAACTGCTTTGCCACATGGAGGGGAAAAAAAGCAATTTCAAACCATTGACCTTAGAAACTATCCCAAACCATCAACTTTACCTACAAAATACACAGAGGTAAATACTCTTCATCGGTACAAAGCTACTGTGACTGTGAAACCAAAAATAAGAACCTAAACACTATAGTGAACAGAACTGGAGGTCAAAAATGCCAGAAAAAAATTAGGCAGCAAAAAAACAGCCTCTCCAGAACCTGGAACTAAGACATGTGAAAAATAATAACTTAGTGAAGAGGAAAAGAAGTAGAGCTCCAGAATCAAGAAAAGGCCAAAATGAAAAGAAGAAACCATAGAGAAAATGAAGAAACTAAAGACAACATAGAGAAGAGAATAAAACAGTCTGGCATCTAACTTCACCTCCTCAGGAGAAGGCCCTAACTCCGCAAAGAAAAGGAAAGCCCAGAGAGTGTCAGAAACCTCTAACAAACAGCAAGAAATGCAATGATAGCTCCAGGCAAAGCCCACAGTTATTATAGGCTACAAATACAGCCCAGGGTTTTGCTGTGACTCCTTCCTAATGGCAGTCTAGAGACAGAGAAGAAAGTCACTGTAGCATTCACCATGCTTGGGAGTGATATAATCAGAAGCCATGTGAGGAAGGGGTTTATTGTTTAAGACCGAGCTACCGTGGAAATCAGAAGTCACAAGACAAGTACACCTCAGTGTCTCTGGGATCACAGTACCACAGTGCCAGGGTAGGAGACAGCCACAAGAAACCCTATGATGAGAAGCCAGGCTGGTCATGTGAGTTTTTAAGGAGTCTGGGTCTGAAAGTACTGATATTAAGTCCAGCAGAATGCTCGGCCCCCTCACTGCCTACATGAAGCCAGAGCTGGAGGTCTGTTTACTTTTCCCATCTGCCAATGTAAACAGGGGAACACCTCTACTTGGACAGTTGGCTGCGTTCTGGGATGTACAGACTGAGGAACCTCTGGGGCAAGAGAGGCATCTCAGGAGCCCCGAAACCATAAAACTAGTGGTGGATGGCAGTGACTTGGGACACTCAAAAAACCACAGACATTAAGGACCACTGGAAAAAATACAGCCCTAAGGCAGACACCACACCATTGCCTGACCACACCGAGTGAGAAAGGTAGGGAAGGATGCAGCATTTATTCAGGAACAGTGGGTGTAGAAACAAAATAGGCCCTGACTGTGACTCAGTATCCCCCAACATATTCGTGCGTTCCAATGGACCCTGAAAAGAAACCACTCACCCAAACACACAGGACCTTTTTGAACTCATTTCTTTTTCTTTGTTTTGATTTTGCTCCTTTGTTACTTTTTTTTCTCCTTATTTTTTCTTCTCAATTATACCTAATTCTTTGAACTTTCTTGAGAGCTTTCTTGAGAATTCTAGCCAGGGAATCCAGCTACTTATATACCCAACAGCTGACACAGTCTTCCTCTGTTGGGAAAGGTCTCCTCTCTGACACAGTGCCCGGCTTCTGGAAGGACACACATGAAGTAGTGAAGGAGGAGACACCCACCTAGCGAGTGACTGATGGATGGTGTGACAGATGTGGCAGGCATATTCCTCTCATCTCTTATTAACTTTCTATTCTTTAATCAGACTTTTTATCTCACTTTTCTCTAGTCTTCCTTCTCTTTTTCAAATTTTACTTTGTTCATTTTCCCCTTCCTTCATTTTTATTATTAATACTATTAAGCTTTACTAACTTTTAGCATTTTGCTATTCTTCTCTCTTACCTTCTATCATATCTCAACCCTTTCCCTAACAAACCATGAGCCCAATATCTCTGGGAACGGAACAGCTACACACTGTTCTGCCTTAGTCCACTCAGCAAGGCCCATCTTTAATACCACATCCTTCTGCATCTCTCTCCAAGTGTGCATCCCTTCTTGGGTGTCACAACACTTATGCTACACATCAAATCCTGTGCTTAATCCTTTATATCTTGGTTACTTCAGACATCTACAGCTTAAGTACCCAACTGTCCTTCCCATTCCTTGAAAATGGGTTTTAAATAAATAATCATTATGTACTATAAACATGCACTAATAAAAAATACATTAATAAATTTTTAAGTATAGAGAACCAGAGTTATAAATAAAAAAAAGTATCATCAGGCAGGTGGATTTATCACTTTTGAAAAATACAATCTTACCTGATTGAGTGAGGTGTAATCTGTAATCACAGCATCAGGAGGTCTACTAGGTGTGGCTATAGCCACCTACAATCAAAAGATATTGTATGTTAAATCTTAAATATTGTGATTTTCTTTACATAAAAAAAAGCTACCATGCGTCAATAGAATAATTCCATGATTTGGATAAAAGAGTTTTTAATATTTTGATTAATTTTAATATTTTAGGAAATAATGGTCATTTAAAATTTCTTAACTCTTAGCTTCATATACATTATAATTTCCCTGAAGTGACCCTTTTTAAGGTAAAGAACCATGTAATCAGATCTATTCTCCTGGTCACAAAGGAGAAAAAGTTATATTTTTCCTGTGTAGAAGATGATGACAACAATATTTAGACATACAATCAATCTAAAGTGACTCAGGTTTTAAATTTGATTTTTAAAAATCCTTACATATTTTAATTTGCCATTTAAATTATACATTTTAAACACAGTTACAAATAACTCAGTTATGATGATGTCTCAATACTAACATTTAAAACTACTGATGAAAACTTAGCAGCATGTACCAAGTATAGATGTGAGCACAAAGTTAGGTTGAAAACCAAAGTAAAAACATCCTCAGCAGTTGAACTGTATTAAAGCAGCTATTACCTACTTTTCAATAATTTATAAGAGAAATAAATTATTCATTTTCGCTCCATTAGGTAAATTTTTACAACAAAGTTAGTTTTTATTCTTCTAGAATGTTAAGAAAATGACAATTTTTCACTTTTAAAATGCTAAGCTCAGATATATTCCCAAATCCATCCTTACAGACATACACAAAAACATCACTGATCAAAAATTACTCTATGGGGGCTGGGGATTTAGCTCAGTGGCACCTATGCCTGCCTCAAAAGAACAAGGTCCTGAGTTCGACCCCTGAGAAAGAAAGAAAGAAAGATTACTCTATGAACTAAACCCCCCTTCTTTATTGCAGGTACATGCAGTGTACTTTGCAGGTTTCGTTTATGTATTTATTTTCAAGTCATTGTACTAAGTTTTGGAGCAATGACATTTGGGGAGCAGATGTGACTCTTAAGTCCTGGTAAATACTGCTGGATTGTCTTCTAAGTTTCTTCAGTAGCTCTTATTTCACAAAACCAACTGTTAGCTAGAGTCAGAAAGATATGTGCCAGGGGATATAAGATGGGCAGGTTGCCATAACAATTTTACTGCTAATATGACAGCAAGCTGTTGACAGCACAGAGTTTCACCATAATATACCATTAGCTTGTATTGTTTCCCAAGCAACAAAGATACTAGTGAGGAACTTCTGTTCAACTACTGCAAATATATCTAGAGAAGGGGGATATTGGTTTCGATTCTTGGCTGGTCCACAATACTTGCTACCCAACATTAAAAATGAACATTATGTAATTGGGGGATTTGTGGCTTAGTATATACAAGGCCCTGGATTTAAAACATAGCACCACATTAAAAAGGAAAAGAAAGGGAAAACACAGTACATTGTTTTTATTTTACCTAATATAAGACCAGATTTATATCTTTCCCTTTTTAGCATCCTCATTAAAAGCTTGAAAAATATCAATGAATATTTTCCAAACTTTTCATCTAAATAATCCACACTGCATATGCTGATGCAGTATACAACTTGCATTAGGGTTTTCCATGACTCTGTAAGCCACTAACTAGAAAGACACAGCTCCACATATGTAATAACCTAAGATTGTCAAAGTAATTTGCTCACACAAAAGCAAGAAACCAAACATTTTTTAAATGCAGGTCTAACACACGGTTTTTATAAAGAATTGATCAATATTACTTTTTGAATAGCTGTACTCACATATAATTTACACACAATTCATTTAAACTGTACAATTCTATGGTTTTCAGTGTTTCATAGAGTTGTGCAATCATCACCAGACAACTTCACCACACTTTCATCTCCCCAAACAGAAATCCGATCTGCCTATACTCATTTGCTAAACAACTTCCAGAAACAAAAAGGTGCTTTTTCATAACATTTTTGTAAGTAATGTTTGTTTCACTGGAAAGAAGCTCCTCTTGTCACCCTTCTAGAAGTCACCCCTCAATACTGTTTTAAATAATACTTTATTTAGTACAGAAGACTACTATGGTATAATCTTATTCCTCAAATGACTGAGATAAAGACCAAGTAAAAATAATATAAAAATCCAAATTATGGAGCTAGTGGCTCACACCTGAAATCCCAGCACTCTAGGAAGCTGAAGCAGGAGGATTATGAGTTTGAATCTACCCTGAGCAACGGAGTAAGACCTCGTTGCGAAAAACAAACAAACTAGAACTTCTTACATAAGAGAAACGTGGGTCATTTAACAAATGAACTTATTTATTTCTTGGGGGGATGCTGGGGGTCAAATTTGGGACCTTGCGTTTGCGAGGCAGGCAGTATAAACACTGAGCTAAACCCCCAGCCAATAAATGAATATGTTAATCTATAAAAGGATCACTTTTTCTAAGTTTAATTTAAAAATTTTTGGTACTACAAAGATTATACAAGAAAGTAATAAATATTTCCATAATTATCTCAGGTACATTACATTTTACTTCAAGATTTTGCCAAATATCATATATATAATATGTGATATATAAAAACAGCATTTTGAATCCAAGAAACATTCTAATTGAAAGAAGTATGGATTACTTAGTCTCTACTCCTTTTAATTACATATACAGTAATAAACATCAAAACAGATAAAAAACCTTAACCACACATATGTTTCACTTATGAAGCCAGATACAAAGTAGAGTCAAGATGGCTGAAGAGAGTCCCACATGCACATACACTGACCACAGAAAAGAAGCAGGGCAACACAGGACAACTGTACTTCTAGAAGAGTCTGGGAGAAATGTGGAAATTAGTACAAGGTGATGAAAACCTACACAGCACCGAGAAAGGCAACAAAGAGAAAAGAACAAAGCAATCTGAAACTTCAGCCCCAGTCTCCAGCTGGAGGCTTGGAACCTGACAGCGCCAGGAGAAGTTAAGTGGAAAGGGGTCAGAAATCCCATTCATAGCAGCAGCATGGCAGTCTTTGATGCAAGCCGATGCCACAAGCCTCACAAGCTTTAAATCCAGTTTCAGGAGCCAACTGGTCTAAAAGCCAACTGCTCTGCTCCACAGAATGAGCCACTTTTGGCCTCTCCTGACCCCAGAATCCAAGTCACTGAAACAGTCACTGCTAAATGTCATCTTTTAAAGAGACAGGGGTATCCAGATACAATAAGCTCAAAGGCCCCCAACTAGATTCAATTAAAACAGATCTTCACCATGGCATAAATGTCAGAAAGTAATAAGTCAGAATTATAAAAATAGTAAGAGAAAAGTATCAGGTCACAAGGGAAGGCCTGTTAGAGAATGGGATGATATATTCAAACTATCTAAAGACAAAACAGCCAAACAAACATACTATATTCAGCATAATTATCTTTCAAAACCAAAGGAGAGAAAAAGTTATTCTCAGGTAAGCAGAAAGTGAAAGAATTCATCACCACCAGCCAGGCCTGTAAGAAATACTTAAGGCAGCCCTACACTAGAAACCAAAGGATGATAACTACTATCACAAAACACATGAATGTACAAAACTCTCAAGTACACAAGAAAGAAAGAGTCAAACCTTGGCATGACAGAAAACAACCAAATCACAAAAAAATACATAACAAGAAAAGTAGGAACAAACAACAAAAACAAACAAATAGAGTGTAATTAACAAAACAACAAGTGTATTATCAGTAACTAACCCTGAATGTAAGTGGATTAAATTTATTAATTGAAAGACAGATTGCCCGAATGGCTTAGAAAATAGAATCAAATTATATGCTGCTTATAAGAAATTCACTTCACTAGTAAAGATATACACAGACTGAAAGAATAAAAGTGAAAAAAGATGTATCACAGAAACCAAAAATGAGCAAGAATAAGTATATTCATATCAGATAAAGCAAACTTTAAATCAAAAATAGTGAAAACAAAGATTATTATATATTGATAAAAGGATCATTCAGCAAAATGCAACAATTATGAATATACACGCATAGGGAACCACCCAAATATAAAAGCAAAGGAAATATTACTACGGCTTAAAGGAAAGGAAGACTCTAATAAACTGTTAGCTGGGGGCTTCAACACAACTCAGTGGACATATTATTCAGAGAAAAAAATCAGGAAAAAATATCTAAGTTAAACCAAAATATAGAGCATGTGAATCTAATAGATATTTACAGAACACGTTATCTAACAGCATCAGACTGAATATTCTTATCAGCACACGGAACATTTTTCAAGATAGACCACAAATAAAATCTTTAGAAGTTGATACCATACCACATATCTTCTCCATCAACAATGGAATGCTAAAACTACAAACCAACAAAAAGAGTAGAAAGTATACAAACAAATTTAAGAGGAGTAACATGCTTCTGAATGACCAATGTGTGAAGAATTTAAGAGGGAAGTAAAAAAAATTTCTAGAAATGAAAGAAAAAGCAACAAAACATATCAAAATCTGTGTGAATGAGAACAGTAGTAGTGAAAGGCAGCTGACTTAAACAGCAGTAACAAAGTAAACCTAAAATCAGTAAAAGAAACAATAAAGATTACAGCAGAAATAAAGCAAAATTCAAAAAAGATCAAGAACTGAGGTTTTTAAAGATAAATTAATACATTTTCTAGCTAAGCTAACCCACAAAAAAAGGAATACCTAAACAAAATAAATCCTGAGATGAAAACAATACCTTATAACTAATACCTCAGAAAGGAAAAGGATCATAAGAAACTATATACCATTATATGCTAAAAAATATTGGAAAACCTATAAAACACGGATAAATTCCCGAACACATACAACCTACCAAAATTGAATCAAGAAGAAATGGAAAATCTAAACAGACCAATAATAAGATTGGAGCAGTAATTTAAAATCTCCCATTGGGCCTAGCAAGAGCAAGGACCCCAGTTTGATCCCCAGTACCAAAAAAAAAAAAAAAAAAAAAAAAAAAAAAAAAAATAATAATAATAAATAAAATCTCCCATTGAGAAAAGTTCTGATGGCTCTACTAAAGAAGCCTACAAAACGTTTAAATAATTAATTCAATCCTTTACTACTGCAAAAAAAGCCAAAAGAAACTTTGCCAAGTGTTCTTTCAAGGTTACCATTATCTTGACACCCAAACCAGATAAAAATACAACAAAAAACCCATAAAGTACAGAAACAGAATCCTGATAAAAATAAATGTAAAATTTCTCAGTAAAATACTAGCAAACTAAATTCAACAGAACAACAAAAAGACTCTACACATCATGATCAGTAAGATTCATCCTAAGGACAGGATAGTTCTACATAAAAAAAAAAAATCAAAACCATGATATGACACATCAACAGAATGAAGGGCACACAAAAACTGCACGATCACATCTAAAGCTGTAGAAAAAGCATTTGATAAGATTCAATATCCCTTCATAATAAAGAAGTCTTAAAATTAGGTTTAGAAGAAACATTATCTCAAAATACTAAAGGCTAAATATAAAAACCCCACACTCAATACAGAATGGGGCAAAGTTGAATTCATTTCCTCTAAGTTCAAGAATAAGACAAAGATGTTCACTTTCACAATTCCTATTTAATATAGTACTCAAACCCTCAGAACAATAGGCAAGAGAAAGAAATAAAGGGCATCCAAATAGTAAAAGACCAAATTAATTATCCATATTTGCAGATGATATGATTTTATATACAGAAAAACCTAAATAGTCCAACAAAAAGCTGTTGGAACATACAAACTAATTCAGTAAAGTTACAAAATATAAAATTAACATACAGAAAAAATAAGTACATGAATAATGAACTTTCTGAAAAATAAGAAATTGCATTTACATAAGAAAAAAAGGCATAGGATTTCACAATGAAAATTATAAAACTTTAATGAAAGAAATATAGAGTACATTAAATAGAATGATATTCCATGTTTGTGAATCAAGAGAATATTGTTAAAATTACTACACCCAGAGGAATCTATAGATTCAATTCAATTTCCATCAAAATACTGACTTTAGGGGCCGGGGATTTGGCTCACTGGTTCTGCTGCCTGCCTTGCAAGTAAAAAGGTCCTGAGTTCGATCTCTGGTACCACGAAAATACTGACTTTCTTCAGAAAAATAGAAAAACAATTCTAAAGTCACACAGAACCAAAAAAGACACGTAACAGCCAAAGTGATCCTGAATAAAAAATATAACGCTGCAGGCACAAAATAAAATACCTGAGTTCAAAACATTCTAAAAAGCTACAGTAACAAAAACAGAATGTTATTGATATAAAAATAGAGACTTAGACCAATGGCACAGAGAATCCAAAAATTAATCCATACTCATACTATCCATTTTTGACAAAGGCACAAACAGTGAAGAAAGGATACTCTCTTCAATAAATGGTGCTGCTACAACAAATTGGACAAATATATGTAGAAGAGTGACACTAGATCTCTTCATCTCAGCATACACAAAAATCAATTCAAAATGGAAAAAGGATCTAAAAGTTAGGGCCAGGGATTTAGCTCAGTGATTCCTCCACCTGCCTCGCAAGCACAAGGACCCCAGTTCTATCCCCAGTACCAAAAAAAAAAAAAACAAAAACAAAACAGGACCTAAAAATTAAACCTGAAACTATGAAATTACTACAAGTAAACACAGGGAGAAAACTTCCATACACTGGTGTAGACAATGGTTTTTTTAGATACGCTCCCCAAGGTACAGGCATTAAAAGTAAAAATAAACAAATGGGGTTATATCAAATAAGAAGCTTATTCAGAGCAAAGAAAATCAACATAATTAAAAGAAATTATGGATTGGGAGAAAATATTTGCAGAGTAGTCATTTGATAAAAGATTGATTATCCAGAATACAAAAAGAACTCAAAGGCTGAACAGCCACCAAAAAAAAAAAAACAAAAAACAAAAAACTACACATAATCCAATTTTAAAATGAGCTAGGGCCGAGGATTTAGTTCAGTGGTTCTGCAACCTGCCTGGCAAGCACAAGGACCCAAGTTCAATCCCCAATACCAAAAACAAAATAAAATGAGCTAAGAAACTAAACAGACATCTCTGAAAGAAAGACAAACAAATGGCCAACAAGTACCTGAAAAAATGCTCAATATCACTAATCATCAGAGAAATGAAAATCAAAACCGTAAGATATTATGTCACCCATTAAAATAGTCATCATCAAAAAGACAATAATAAATACTGGCAAGGACAAGGAAAAAGGGAAAACTCACATCCTGTTAATAGGAATTTATATTGTACAGAAATTATGGAAAATAATATGAAGATTCCCCAAGAACTATAAATGGTACTACCATGTGATCCCGCATTTCCACTACTTGTATATAGCAGTAAGAAATGAAAACACCATGCCAAGAAGATTATGCACTCTTCTGTTTATTGCAGTACAATTCACAACAGCTAAAATATGAAATCAATCCAGGTGCCTTTCAATATATGAATGGCTAAAGAAAATGTAATGGATGGATGGATGGATGGATGGAAGGAAAGAGAGGGAGAGAGGGAGGGAGAGAGAAAGACTGACAGGTAGGCAGGCAGAGACAGACAAATGGATGGAAGATTGCTTATTCCACCATACAAATAATTAAATCCTAGGCACTAGGGATTTAGCTCAGTGGCACCACGCCTGCCTGATTCGATACCTGATGTGTGTGGGGGTGGGGGAGATTAAATCCTGCCATCTGGAGATCATTATGTTAAGTAAAATAAGCCAGACACACAAAGACAAATATCACATTTTAAAAACTCATTTGTGGAGACTGATAATTTAAACCTGTAGAAGAATGAAGTAAAAAAATAGTTACTAAAGACTGGAAAGGGAGAGGGAAAGGATAGAAATTTCATTAATAGACGCCAAGACATAAAGTGGAAGAATTATTCCTGGTTCTTCTTAAGCATAGTACAGGTTAAAGCAAGCTGTGTTTCAAAATAATTAAAAATGAAGAATATGAAATTCCCATAAAAATTACTGTTTGAAGAAAAGGAAATACTTCCTACTCTGATTCAATTATTATATGTACTGAATTACTGTGACTTACCGTGACTTACCCTTTAGAGTTGTACAAATATTACGTCTCAATTAAAAAAAAAAAAAAAAGCCATGCCTTACCTTGATTTTTTCAGATGTCCGTTTTCCACCAAAGCCTCCAGAGCCAACAACAAACAGAGAATACTGACTATAGCATATAAGTTCCTTCCCGGAATAAGAATAGACTATAAATAAAAAGAGTTATGAATAAAACATATAACTAGTTAAGATACGTTCAACAATTTCTTTAAAAGTTTCAAAAACAAAATTCAGTTCCTGAAAGGGCTCTACACCAATGACCATGTTTGGATTACAAAGCATTCACTTGAATACATTCACCATCAGACTCTGAAAGGCAGAGAGAAGAAACACTTCACAAATCTTTTCTTCACTAGGAAACAGCAGTTTTTTGCACTTCTTTTAAATCACCCCAAACTGCCAATCATAATTCAATTTTTTCTATCACAAACATTTCAAACAATTCTAACAGAAAATGCAAATAAACACACAAACTTTCAAACATTCTGTCAAAGAATTCAGAACATGGAATGTAAACAGTAAAGTAAAAATAAAGGTATAAGCCAAATGGAGGCAGGGTCTTGGCTGTGCCTTGCACCATTTTATTACCAGAAATTAGAATAGTGTCTGGGTACAAAACTGAAGCATAATAATTAAACTAACTAATAAAGCAGTAAATAAATTACATGAGTAAGCAAATTATCAAATAAAAAATGACTAAAACAAAAATAGTAACTAAGACAGGTGATTCTCTATTTACTAATTTAATGTCAACCTAGTTCTTAAAAACCTAGAACTGACTCTGAATTACATACCAAAGACAAAAACTAATTACAACAAAAATAAGTTATAGCAATCTGCATTAATTTTTACCTTTATTACACATGAAATTGGGACAACTTATTTCATCTAAGCTATATTTATAATTTCTAATACTCTGTGACTCATTATCAATATGTAGTTAGTTAAATGGGTTAGATTAAATGTCAATAGTAAAGATCAAACAAGGGTACTCTTGTTTTGTGGTACACTACACTTACAAGAAGACTAACAGATAATTGCAAAAATTTTAGCCAAATGCTGGCCAACTTCTGGAATGAGAACTATAAAAGCATCAAAATAAAATAAAAAGAGGAAAAAGACAGAAAGAGAGCAAACATACATAATATTTAAACATCAAAGCACATTTTCCAATATGTTTACTAAGTAAACATAAAGCCAAGTTCCAAAACAGTACATTCAGTATATATAGTTCCTGATTTTCAATGGTTCAACTTACAATTTTTCAACTTTATATTAATGATGTGAATGCTGTACTTGAATATTCAGTGGAAATTATACTTTAAATTTTGAATTTTGGTACCCTCTCCCCCAGGCTAGTAATACTCAGTATGGCAATTTCTTGAAATGCTGGGCATTGGTAAGAAGCTGAAGCTTCTAGACAGTCATGCAATCGTGAAGGTAAACAACCAATACTGTACATTGTTTTGTGTCGCTAAACCATGATGTTTGATATTAGGTGCATTAAATGCTTTTGGTTTTATTTAATAGTACTGGTAATTAAGCCCAGGGAGCATTGGCTACACCCTCATCCCTTTCCTTAAACTTGTGATCCTTCTGCTTCAGCCTCTGGAGTAGCTGGGATTCAATGTATAATAGTTTTATCAGGACATAATCCCCGTTGTAAGTCAAAAAGCATCCTTTGTATTTACTATATAAAAATTAAAAGGTGTACATTCCAAACATCAAGCAATATTACATTTTCCACCATTCTTTACTTGAAAATTTTTCACAATAAATTTTTTTCTTAAACTTTAAAATGTAAGCAATGTGTCTTTAACTTATGCTTAGTTACTAGTATTTGAATATTTATTAAATTACTGTAATTTTTTTTTTCCCAACTGCAGGTAAAATGTGTTTATGGGATTTTAAACCACATTATCAATTCAACAGGTTTAAATGTATAAATCTAGAAACCTAACTACCATTTAGAAGAATGATCTTGTGGTTAAATATGTTTCAAGTTCCAAATAGCTAAAATAGAAAAGAATATCACAACAAAGCTTAACTATCAACTGAAGGCTAATTTTTCTACTGCCAAAATATACTTCAGCATAATTCTCATCTATAATCTGTACACAAGCCACATTTCCCAACCCGTGCTTTGGTAATGTTGTTTTAAATTCACTGAAATGCCCCACCTGCCCAGGCCCTAGATCCAATCTATACTTTGTTCCCCCTCCCTTCCTTGTTTTTCTTTAAGAGCTGATAAAATTTTGAAATGTTTATCTTGTTTGCTTTCTTACATAATGAAAAATAAATGCAAAAATATCAGTCAACTTCTGTAGTGAAATATTATGTTACAAAATAACTACATTCATCTTGGGAAACTGGTCATACACACATTGCATAATTATGTACTGTAAACATATACTAATAAAAATAAATTTTAAAAAAATTGTTACATACAAAACCTATCAATCTAACAATATCATTATAGGAAATGTAAACAAGTTACCATCCAAAATAATTACTAAGCCAGATCCTTTATCTAGGATATCAGCAATAACTGCTTCAGATTTTAATTCTCCTGAAATAAAAAGTAAAATAAATATTGTTTAAAGACAATAAATTAAGACATGAAAGAATGTAAGTTTCCACTATAATTTCCACTATAAAAAAATTTAAGTTTGAAATAATTTTCCTGAATTCACTAGAAAACATTCAATATTAATAATTCAGAATTATTTCTAATTTGAAACATTAATATTTCTGAAAAATACGATTTTTTAAAAAAATAATTTTCAATGTCAATGATCCTTCTTGATCTCTTTTATCTCCTCATCCAATAAACATCTGTTGAGTACTAGTATCATCTACCCCATACTTTCTTAAATCTGTGCTGGTTTCAAAGGGAAATTGTTTCTATTTACTCTACTCTTTTACAGACTATCACCACATTTAACTAGTAATATCCTGATAGATTTTCATTATTAAGGGGTAAACTCATCATCTTTGCTTTTCTCTTTTGTTCTCTATATGACTGAAGGACACTAACCATCAAGCTGCCAAGCAACAAACTTAAGCATCATCCCTCTTAGAGACCAAGCACATGGCTGGCTGGAGTATGCAAAATTGGTACAAGCTAGGGCATATTAAAATGTTTTAACTTCATGCTAAAGCCTATGGATAGACATTTGGTGTTTTCAGTAGGGAAGCATCAAACATATTTGCATTTTAGAAATAATATTCTGGCTGTTGATGAGAAGAAAAGACTTGAGGGGAATAAGAATGGAGACAGAATACTTAGAAGGTGAGAGAAAAACACAGTAAGAAACAAAGAAGTATGAACAGCCTTTAGGACACTTGACCTATTTTTCAGTTCCCCTAACACAGTCAGTGTTTTGTTCTCACTTCCAAACCTTTGTACACAGTGTTTCCTTTGCTCAACACATTTTTCAGTCTCTTCACTTTATGGTTAAATCCTAATTCAACCCTCAGATCTCACCTTAGAGTTTATTTCCACTAAGACATTTTCCCCAACCCTAAATCCAATTCCAGGTTAGAGACCTTTGGTTTGTACCTATGTGCACTTACATTTCTTCCACTATAAAGTATCACCCAGTGTTCATTGCCCATTGTCTCTTAGACAGACTCTAAGCACTACATAAGCAAGGATATTATCTTTCCCAGATATACTGCCAATACTTAGCAGAATGCCTGGCACATAACATGTATCTAATAAATAATTCTAGACAAATTGTTTTCATAATCTGTTTTTCTGTAGTTTCTAGTTTCTCTATAAGTATATATAATTCTGTAATTTTGTAAAAATCTAGCTAAATGAGCACTTAGGAGAAAAAGGTTAGATCCTACACTAACAAAGCCACAGCTCTGTGAGAGTTTACTTTGAAACCTAGCACAATAATCCTGTTTGCATAATGTTTAACTGTTCAAAAGCATTTATATATATGTACTAGTCTTTAATGGTCACATATACCCAAAGCAAATCAAAGTTGGCAACATTACCAATCTCACTTCCCAGACTACAAAATAATGTATTATTTTGCACTAAGTTATCTTGAGAAAGAAATAAGTCTAATAAAGATCATATAGCAACATAAATCAAACTCAAACTCAGAAAATTTAGAAAATAGAACATCCTGAATAGAACATGTTCTGGTTCATAAAGAAAAATGGTGCAGTTAGTAGGTTTCTTTTACTCCATCTAGTGGTTATTTTTTACTGATGAGGGAAAGTCAGCTTACAGTAGTACCACTGTAGCTCACAGGAGAGCCATTAGAAGATGGTGGCATCAGTCTGCTGGTGCTCAAGGCCTTAACTCATCAATTGGTATAATTTACAGATAGATTATAAGTAGCTATACTCTTTGGTTTTCTGCATTTAAAAAAAACATGTTATCTCGAAATATGAAACATCAGTCTGCTGGTGCTCAAGGCCTTAACTCATCAATTGGTATAATTTACAGATAATTATAAGTAGCTATACTCTTTGGTTTTCTGCATTTAAAAAAAACATGTTATCTCGAAATATGAATAGTCACATTTATGAGAGAGTAAACTTTACAACTATATAATGAAAATGCACAGGTGCTATCTAAAAATAATTCATGAGAAGCATAACTTGAGGCTAAGGCAATAAAAGACATTAAGAAAAATAACTGGCCATTTTAATCATTTGAGTGTATGTCTAATCTCTCCATGTTTTTAAATCCCTAAAGCAGAATCTAATATGTTTCTGTTTCACTTACAAAAATGGATGCCAAATAAACCAGTCAGGCTGGTTGCATATGAAACAGGAAAGGACCTTGCCTGTCACTGACATCACTACCACCCATAAGCACAAACACAAACACAAACACCCCTCCTAGGTTGGGTCCAGAATCCATTTATCATGGTTTAGATCTAAAATATCCCCCAGAAGTCTCACGTTCAGAGATGGGGCCTGGCTGGAAGGGGCTGATCACTGGGGGCTTATTTTGGTCTCCAGCTCCTCCTCCCTCTCTGCTTCCTGGCTGCCTCAGGGTGAGCAGCTGTCCTCTACCATTTCTTCTACCATACTGTTTCCTGCCTTGGCATCAACCAGCTTTGGACTGAACTCACTGGAAACTGCAACCTAAAATAAACTTCTCATCCTTTAAATTGTGCACATCAGATATTTTGTCCTAGGGCGGTAAAGTGACTAATGCCATATTTTACTAAAAATAACAGATAATGTAATAATTCAGGTAATTTTAATATGCAGCCAGGTTAGAGAAATAGCTAATACCTAATACTATGCCTTACAAATGGCAAATATTCAGAAGATGCATGATGAGTATACAGTCAATACAGACTGAGCCCTGTCTCAGATAAAACAAGATGTCTGCAGTTTATACTGTAATACTTATACTGAAATAAAGCAATAAAGCACTCACAAAATTTAGTTAAATATAAAGGCTTAAGAAAAAATACAATTCTAGCTACATGTTGACTTGTAAATTATACAATGTGCAATGATAAATACCTTTTTTTAAACCACCATATATGGCCAATATATCAGATAGCATTCTGCCGTCAGACCAAAAAAAAAAAAACAAAACAAAACAAACAAGTACTATATATCAAATTAAGTTCTGGTCAACAAGCAAGACTGAGAAACGATGAGAACCAATGTGGGCTTGTTTTTACCTTCTAAAAAATAGGGGAAGGCAGATTACAAGAAATTTGGTATCTTTTAATATTGTTCAATTTATGAAAATAATTATCAAGATAAATACCTTTGAAAAACAATAAAAAAACTATAATCACAGGAATCACAACTATTAGCACAATCACTTTGTTTAACACACACACACAGTGTCCCTTTCAGCTGCTAATGACACGTACATTAATACAATTACACTGATGGTATAGTGAAATAATTTATCGTAAGAGTAGTATTAGTCTAAGGTGACCAAAATAGGTACTAGCTAAAAATCAAACGGTTTATGGGCACATAATTACTTCTGCTATGCTTCACTAGACTACGCTATACCAGTTTAATACCATGGCAGAGTATGGAGGATTAATCAGAAAATAAAATTGTGATATTAAGGAATTACTGTATCAGGTACTCACCTGCTCTAGGAAATGGTTTATATATCTGCAAGTATTGTTCTCCATGAAGAACCTATGTTAGGATAAGCAACATTTTATTAATAACCTTTCTTTTCCCCAGGTTCTGCCTACAGATAGTGGTAATCACAAGTGACATTTTACTGTTCACATGCTCACAACACTACTCTTCCCATATTATCTCTTCTACTTCTCAATCCTGTCATCCAGAAATAATCAGCTCCCTTGTCTAAAGGTAGCCAGTACTTCTGGAAAAGATATATACTTGTACTCTTTCTTGGCATTCATGAATCCTTGTTGGCTGATAATTACAGACTATTTACCAATAAAAGACCCTAATGTAGGCTGTACTCCCAGTGCTTATGACAGTGCCTGAAACACACTTATCTGCAGAATAAAAATGAACAAATGAACCAAGCCAGTAAGGTGTAAGTTCAGGTCACACATACCAAACATAAATGACTCAACAAAAGCACAAGGGTAAACCTTACAACCATGTCCAAAGTGAAAGCACTATCAATGTCAACATTGTAGATAATTATTTACAAAGAGTAAATATTGAGGATACAGTGTAATTTGTGATTTAATAGGGTCTTCAATGTATTAAAGCAAGAATATACCAACATACGTGGAAAAACAATAGGTCAAGAACATAAAAAGGGACCCTTACAACCACATGATTGTACTCCACTTCAATGAGATAACCTCCCTGTCTTCCTCAGAATTCAGAAAAAAAGCAGGGGGAAGAACAAAAATGAAACTGATGAGAATAGCATTGATGATGCTAAGGATCCTGTTTAGACCTGATGCAGAGGACCACAATATTGATTATGCCCAAAGCAGGCTGTGAAGAGTTGACCCCACAGTCTGCTTGTTTATAGAAGTGAGTCTGGCTGAAGCCTATGTGCTGAGGTCAAAGTAATCACACTCAAATTCCATTCCCACAACTAAGACCTTCAGGCTAGAAGAACAATGTTCTAATCACAATCATATATTTTGCCTCTTCTGTTCCTAATTTGACAATGTTTTGTCTTGTCCTTTATGAGCCTTGTTTACATTAATTTCCACAGAACCCACATCACCTTTACCCCCATTGACTGCCGATAAACATCAGTGCCTGGGACTGTCCAGCGCCTTTGTCAGTTACACCAGCACTGGTTGCCCTGGCACCCCACTTTCTCTCTTAGTTCTGTCTCATAGTGTATTCTTTTTCTCAGGCCTGTGTTGCATACTTGGCAGGTGGGTACTGGAACCTGACCGCAGGTATCTCTGACAGACCTTTCCCCCAAACTCTGCACTAATATTCAACTGCCCTTTCCACATCTCCAATGAACTATGTAATAAATACCTCAAACTTACCCAAAACCAACTCCTTCAAATATGATTGCATGTATATGATTATATATAGTAACATGTCATATGTGACTGCTGTACACAGTAAATATACTACATAACTGTATAATTTGTGTATATACATACGTACACACATATAATCTCAGTTGTCCAGAACAAACACCTCCCTTCTTGACTCTTCCTTCCCCTTGCATCTAACACTTTTGCTTAGATTGCTACCACAGACTCTAAGCTTGGCTCTCACACATCTCTTCTCCAGACCACAGTGAGACTGAAACTCAGTAAATACAGCCTGACCAATGGTTTCCCTTGTAAACTGGAGTTTAAGCAATAGTCCTTACAATGATTACAAAGTCCTCCTTTCCTAACAGCCCTAAATAGAGTGACCTTTGCTCACTCTCGCTGAACTGACCTCCATACTGCTCCAAAATCAAGTAAATACACAACTACCTCAGGGTGTCTTATTACAGGTGTTCTCTCTGTCCCAAATATTCTTTCATCCAGATAATTACTTGGTTTTCTCCTTTACCAGTATTGTGACATAAGCTTAGGTTATCGTATCTATTTTATAAATAAAGAAACTGAAACCTAAAGAAGTTATTTATATTTGGTTAAACAGCAAATAAACAGCAGAGAGAGAGTAGCATCATGCCACGGTCTGGAAACTGTACATAGTATGTACATATTTGAATATACATGTACACCTACCAATGTGACATTTACCAATAACACTTAAAGAAACAGAAGACAAGCAAAAGACAATTTCTCAGTAGGCATACCTTTGCGAAGTTGATCGGAAGTCCAGGAATTTCTGCTAACCCTCCACTGGTCATAGATTTCTGAGCTATGATAACTCCAAAGGTAGGCAAACAGGAGAAATCAGAACTTCCTTCATAGAGAAATTTCAAATCTTTTGGATCTTTCATTGATGCTCCCACTCCAAGGGCATACATAATAGTGTCCAGTTCCGTATAAGCAGAAAAATATGAAGGAAGTTTATAGCCAATAGCGCTAGCCTATGGGACAGTTGTAAAAAAATTATTTTTTTCAAACAATAACAAATGCTGGTGAGGCTGTAATGAAAAGGAACCCTCCCCTTCATTGTTGGTGAGAATGTAAACTAGTACAACCATTATGGAAATTAACATGGAGACTTCTGAAAGACCTGAAATTAGAAATTCCATATAACCCAGCTATTCCCCTGGCTAGGTATCTTTCCCAAAGACCTTAAGTCATCACACTATAGTGATACGTGCACAAGAATGTTTATAGCAGCAAAATTTTGTAATAGCTAAACCCTGGAAACACCCTGTATACCAATCAAGATGAATAGGTAAAGAAAATAGAGTATCTTTGTATAACAGAATAATATAACTGTTATACTTTGTATAACAGAATAGGCTGCTATAGAGAAGGACAGATTTGAGACATTCGTAGGAAATGAAGGTACCTAGAAATTATAATGTTGAGTGAAATAAACCAGACACAGATATTTAAATACTGTATGGCATCTCTCATTTCAGTGAAACAAGGTATAAACAAAGAAAATAACAAAAGATGGATAGAAGGGACAAGGAGAAGATTTTCTTGCAATAGAGTAGTAATCCAAGGGAAAAAGCACAAGGGGTGAGAAGGGGAAGGGGATATAAGCAGAATAAAAATATGCTATATATAGGAACCTAATAACTTCAATTACTATAAACATGTGCCATAACATGAGTTATGATTAATAATAGCAACAAGAATGAAAAATGGGACAGAGGAATTGGGGAGGAGATTTAAAAAAAAAAAAAAAAAAAAATGGGGGAAAAAAAAAAAAAGAAGTGGTGGGAGGTACCACTCCCCAAGATGATTGTAAACTGCATGAATTGCAAACATGTACTAATAAAAAATTTTAAAATGATTTTTCAATTAATACTTTCATCAAATCTTTGAAATTTTAACTTTTCAACTATTAGCTATTCATATACCTAGTTTTGCTTTTGAAAAGACATGACTAGGTCACTGAATTTGATGGAGATAGTTCCTATACATTTGACATTTTCAGAAAAGTCAAACAGGTATTATCTAAAAAGGGTTTTCATTTACAGATAAGTACTTTTATTGCTTAACTCTTGCTAAAGGATAATGTCTCATTTTCAATTTTCCTATCTCTGATAGTAGAAAACGCTACTGAATGTCACAAATAATGGTTACACAAAAATAAAGAAATGAATTATAATAGGAATAGTGAATTGCTTTGTAAGAGCAAATACATAAAATGCATTGTAAACAGGTAAGTAAAATATTGTTTAGTGCTTGTAAAGTAGACTACCTCAAAATATTTCAAGTTGAAATGAGCTTTAACCTGACATTCCTTTCAGGGATGTATTTTGTCTAACTGAATGCTGTGTTTTCCGATTTAGTGATGATAGGCCTAGCTACAGTGTGAAGCATGTTGGTTTATAAAATAATGTCCAATTTTTCAATCATTTTAATCCTACAACAGCAGTCAGAAAATAAGAGCTACAACCTAAGAAAGATTTTTACAATTTTAAGAGGTAGTTAAAAAAAAGAAAAACAGAGTTCAGGGTATATAGCTCAGTGATGGAGCACATAGCCAGTTTCTTAGCTGAAACTTAAAATATTTCCAAAATATAATCTGTTAATACTTTCCTTTAAAAGAACAGACCTAGGGGACAAGGATTTAGCTCAGTGGTTCCACCACCCGCCTTGAAAGCACAAGGTACCAAGTTCGATCCCACATACCCCCCCCAAAAAAAAACAGACCTAGAGAGTCATTAAATATCTTTTTCTAAAAAGTTAGAAAAACAGTGACTAGGATTATCAAAGGACAGTCAAGAAAAAGTATTCCTCAAACTATACTGACAAAAAGAAAATAAAAGTTACATTTAACATTCAGTTAATGATCATTCATTTTATCACTGTCTAGCACATATTTTATGAAAAGTTTTGTGGTCAATTATCCATAAATCAATAGCTTAGAAAATAGCATTTTATATGTAAAATAATGTTTCAAAATTGTTTATATTTCAAAGTCTTCTATTTGGTATCTTAAGGGAGAAAAAAAATAACAAAAACATTGTAGCACAGAACCACTGTGTCATCCCACACACTTCTAATTCCCCACCACCAGATTTTCACAAAATGCAGAACTACTTTAATCAGTTTATAGCTAGGCTTGAAGAGATAACAAGGTATCAATGAGCATAATGGAAACTATATATGGAAGAGACAGGAAGGCAGGCAGGCAAGCAGGGAGAGATACCAAGACCAGACAACAGCTTTACCCCAAATCATTTTCAATTTTCCTATCTCTGATAGTAGAAAACGCTACTGAATGTCACAAATAATGGTTACACAAAAATAAAGAAATGAATTATAATAGGAATAGTGAATTGCTTTGTAAGAGCAAATACATAAAATGCATTGTAAACAGGTAAGTAAAATATTGTTTAGTGCTTGTAAAGTAGACTACCTCAAAATATTTCAAGTTGAAATGAGCTTTAACCTGACATTCCTTTCAGGGATGTATTTTGTCTAACTGAATGCTGTGTTTTCCGATTTAGTGATGATAGGCCTAGCTACAGTGTGAAGCATGTTGGTTTATAAAATAATGTCCAATTTTTCAATCATTTTAATCCTACAACAGGAGTCAGAAAATAAGAGCTACAACCTAAGAAAGATTTTTACAATTTTAAGAGGTAGTTAAAAAAAAGAAAAACAGAGTTCAGGGTATATAGCTCAGTGATGGAGCACATAGCCAGTTTCTTAGCTGAAACTTAAAATATTTCCAAAATATAATCTGTTAATACTTTCCTTTAAAAGAACAGACCTAGGGGACAAGGATTTAGCTCAGTGGTTCCACCACCCGCCTTGAAAGCACAAGGTACCAAGTTCGATCCCACATACCCCCCCCAAAAAAAAACAGACCTAGAGAGTCATTAAATATCTTTTTCTAAAAAGTTAGAAAAACAGTGACTAGGATTATCAAAGGACAGTCAAGAAAAAGTATTCCTCAAACTATACTGACAAAAAGAAAATAAAAGTTACATTTAACATTCAGTTAATGATCATTCATTTTATCACTGTCTAGCACATATTTTATGAAAAGTTTTGTGGTCAATTATCCATAAATCAATAGCTTAGAAAATAGCATTTTATATGTAAAATAATGTTTCAAAATTGTTTATATTTCAAAGTCTTCTATTTGGTATCTTAAGGGAGAAAAAAAATAACAAAAACATTGTAGCACAGAACCACTGTGTCATCCCACACACTTCTAATTCCCCACCACCAGATTTTCACAAAATGCAGAACTACTTTAATCAGTTTATAGCTAGGCTTGAAGAGATAACAAGGTATCAATGAGCATAATGGAAACTATATATGGAAGAGACAGGAAGGCAGGCAGGCAAGCAGGGAGAGATACCAAGACCAGACAACAGCTTTACCCCAAGTAATAATTCCCTTTCCCCCTTCTCTATCATACCTATCATACCTTTTCTATCATTCTCTATCATACAAACAGTGATGCAGGAAAGAAACTACCAAAACATATAGGTTAGTGAAGAGAATCCTTACGAAAAGTTCAGATAAGCTTCCAGCACCTGTTTCCAATCACCCAGAAAAGCCAAAATAAATTCAGTAGGTGAGCTTCCTTCCTCCTATCCAACTCACACACTAAAACAGTGGTGATGAACCTATGGCACACGTGTTATTTTTCTTTTAAGACGAAAGATGTTAACATATGAGCTGTTCTTCCTAAATCAAAACCTCAGTATTCAGGTTTATTTGCCATGTTCACAAGGTTCACCATCACTGCACTAGGAAGAGCTTTGAAAACTGATACTCAATTGTCCTGATCTCTCAAGAGAGTCCTCCATCTGGGGAAAGAAAAGTGTAGTATAGTCCAGAGAAATCTAAGAAAAGGAGGGAGGGGAAATGAACAAAAAACAGAGTCCAGGGCCAGGTATTGAGCTCAGTGGTTCCACTGCTTGCCTTGCAAGCACAAGGTCCCAAGGTTCAATCCCCAGTACAAAAAAACAAAACAAAACAAAGAGAGTACAGACTGCTCTACCACCACCCCATCCACCTCCTCATGTGGTTCAAATGTCATCTATCAGAATCTGTGTGAAAAGTCTGTGTGTCAGAAATGGCTTTAATCTAAAGTCAATCACAGATAAATTTGTATAAATTCTCTATTTCAAATTATTTTTGCTTGTTTCTCTCCATTATTAGAAACTGAAAGACAGTGACTACATCCAAAAGAAAAGAGGAGGAGGAAGGAAAAGCAATCACCAGAGAAGACAAAAGTAAAGGCCTTCTTGTCCCACTTACAAATCCTGGTGAGGCTGTAGAAGCTACATGACTGGTAGGATTTGGCAAAATTTCCTCTTCTGAATCCAATTTATGTAAAATTTCAATTATACTGCCAGTTGATTCTAAAATTAAAGAAAATAAGAAAAAGCTTTGCTTTGAATGTGACAAAAAATACTACAGTATGCTAGGTAACAGTTGCTACAAAACTTCCATCATCACTCACAAACTAAATGTATGATGTTAGGCTCTTACAGAAAAAAAACTCTGAAAGAAAGCAAAAATAACTAGCTATCTTCAATGAAAAACTAAGCACTGTCTTATATAACCCTCCCACGTTCCAGGGAGCTCTTAAGCTTTGCAGTATCTTGAGCTATTTTGTCACTGCAAAGTGGGATACTTGTTTACGATACAGAACACTAGAATTACCTCTGCCCCAGGTGTTTACGTAAGTAAAAGGTCTAAAAACAATACTAACAATTGTTCTAGAGACAAAAAGAAAAAAAATCATCCTATAAACAGGGCCTCCAAAAGGGACTGAAGCTGCTCCTCTGGGGCCTAAAGCTTATAACTAGCCTCCCAGGGAATCCCTATATGCTATATGATGTTCTGCAGGCTCTGGGACCTTCCAAACCTGGGGATACTGCACTTCCTTATGAACCAGAGAAAAACTATAAACTAAACTGCAGTGTCTGAAGTAACCAAGTATATCTGCATTCCAGATGACACTAGTGGAGCATCTCTTCCCCTACATTCCCATTCAGACCACTGTTTTGAAGGGAGACTTTCTTGACAAAAGCTCATGGCACCACACTCTGAGAGAGATAACCTGAACAGGCTCTCTGCTCAAACACTGACTAGTTCCATGTTTCTGTGATTTAGTTCTGTAAAATAAATGGACCGGATGTGGTCTGGAGAGACAACTCATATAGTAAAGTGGGGTTCTTTTGTTGTTTTTGTTTTTTACTGTACTTCAAACAGCATCAATTAGGGCTTTAGATAATATCTTTATACTTCTTTGTGCATATTCTGGTTTGGGTTTTTTTTTTTTTTTTTTTTTTTTTTTGGTACTGGGGATCGAACTCAGGTCCTTGCACTTGCAAGTCAGGCTCCGGAACCTCTGAGCTAACCCCCAGCTAGTCTTAATACTTCTGAAGCCAAAAGTTTTTAAAGCAGAAATCTAAGTTTTTAAATAAATTTTCCCTTTTTCTCTTTCACTTTCATTGATAATGACTGTTAATCACAGATTTGAAATACCAAAATACAGAATATAAGAATGCTATCAGTTATGAACTAAAAGCCATTTTTCTGATAATCTATCAAACTTTGAATATAAAATCACTAAGAGAAAAAATATTTTTCTTTAAAATAACACTGATTCATGATCTTTCTCAGAAAACTCTTTCAACTTCAAATACCAACTATACAGGCGAATTATACTACAAAAAATAATGTAAATTTTATTTGGTACCTACTACTGTGGGCACATCACAGATGATTAAATAATTCAAGTTAAAGGCATTTGCTAAATCTCTTTTATTAATTCAGCACTAGGCTAACACTGAATACAAAAGAATTACATATAACTGAGGGGTAGAGCTCAGTGGCAGGATAAATGCCTACCATGCCCAAAGCCCTGGGTTTGATACCCTGCACACAAGAAAAATAAATCACCTATAAAGTACAATCTCTGCCGCAAAGAAACTTATCAAGTATGTAAAAAAAAAACACACATTTGGGCTTGGGATTTAGCTCACTGGCACCTGCCTCACAACTGCAGGTCCTGAACATGATCCCCGGTATCAAAACCAAAACAAAATAAACAAAAAAGAAACCACACATTCATGGGGGGAGGGAAAGACTGATGTAGCCCAGAATATCTGAGATTTGAGTTTTTTTAAGAAAGCATAACATTATGAAGAGGTGATAAAAGGAGAAAGAGTTGTGGTAGAAGACATGCAAACAGTAGCAAAACCAAAGCCCTAAAATGAAGCCACACCTATTCACTGAACAGAAAAGAGCTAAGCTTAAATCGGTTTAAATAAACCATTAGAAAAACAGAGGAAAAACTGGGTCACATAAGGAACATATTATTAGATCATAAATAATTTTAAAAACAATCATCAACTGGTACATTTAATACAAATGAGTAAACACCTCATACCATCCATCCTTTGGCCACACATAAACAAAACAAAATTATTTTTTAAATAACTGGAAAATAGTGGGAGTAAAATATCTTAAACATGAAGAGTTCTAATATCTAGCAGAGCAAAGACTATGCCACAGATGATTTAAGTGTCTAAGTCATCATGCTTAAGGTGGGAGACACATCCCTGGGAGATGTTGCCTCTGATTCTTTAATCAAGGAAAAGTTACAAGGCTCTTTACCTTGGATACTCTGAGGCTTGCTGGCATTACTGAAGTCACAAATCTTCTTCCAGTTAGCCTTCACTGCTTCAGGAGTTACTGACTGGTTCTTTCGTCTGACAATAGCTCCCAGAGTGCGCTCCCAGCGTACTAGTTATAGAAATAAAACCAAACATCTGAGATAAGTTTAAGGGAGGCAGAAAGCAAGATTCATAAAAAGGCCTTAAAATTTTAACTTCAAGAAAAAGGATATTTAGAAAAAGATATTCTAACTTAAAGAATTTAACTATAGCCTAAAAACAATTTTTCCTCAAAAAAAAAAAAACTTTTAAATATATGTGAAGCTGAAAGGACAAACTTCTCCTTATGCCAGATACTACAAAGGAAAAAATACGCTAAATCTGAAAAGATGACTTTCTATAATAATCATACCAAAAGACTGACCTCATGACCACACATCACCACAGGTAAAGATACTTCACTCTCCTTGTTTATAAAATGAAGATTAACAGAACAGAACTTTGCTGGGTAGCAAATTCAGGATTGGTGGTGGTAACAGGTCAAATATTTCAGTTAATAAATCAGACAGCCACAAATAATTCTCCCTTATCCTTTCTTTCTAATTTCTTCCATTTCCATAGGCTACACATATTCAGTACTGCTGAATAAAATCTATTAGAATTTTTAAGTGTTTTCTTTTTTCAAATCCAGAGGAATAACCTCTACATAACCTTATTTAAACAAAATGGTCAGACTTTGATGATTGTTAAATTTAAAATTTGTCTTAGTGAATGACAGAAATGCCTGCTTCTAGATCTTTCCTATTGATAAATTGCCAGGTATAGCTTTAATTACAACACTTATCTTCCTTTCTTAAATGGGTATCATAAGATGATCAAATGCTTGAAAAATATAAATCAGTAACAACTTGCAAACAGCCATTACTGCTAAAAATACTGATACTCCAAAATATGTTGCAACAATGCCCTCCAGTGATAATAACTTTCTAAATAACTCAAATATGTGATTAATTTTGATGCCAGCAGCCAGCCAATTGAAAAAAACTTGAGCAATGGGATTTTTACCATTTTTTAAATGCTCTATCAAAGTTGAGGCCCACAAGTCTGAGAAATGGGACAGAAAACTGAAGCCAAATTAATTATAGGGCGGGGGAAAGGGCACAATTAATCAGGTGCAATTCCTATCCCAGAAAGTTGTCCAATGTGATTTTTCACTTCTCCAAATGTCTCATGCTACTACTATCTAAAATAAAGTTTTCTTTCAAAAACAGTTCTTCCCACTCAATTCTCTGTGAAACAGCAAGAACAAATATATGGGATGTCATACACATTGATGGATAAATAGCTATACAGAGAGAATATGCTGTCTGAAAAAAGTAGCCAGTTCTGACCAAGATAGAGCAAATCCTGAAGAAGGACTACCTACAGGTAGGTTCTTCCAAGTATCTCTGGCCTACAGAAATACCACTATTATAACAATGTTAAAGTCTGAAATGCATACACTAGACAAACATTTCACAAAATCCTTATTACCAGCTCTAATGGATGTGCAGGTTTAAAGATATGGAAATAACATATGACAACCAAAAAGTGAGAGACTTACATTTTCCAATCCAGCCTGCTCCAACCTAGAAAACAGAAGAGTAAAACATTGTTCACCTAATATAAAATCACTAACAGAATTGTTTAAAAAGGTAACTACCTTCCTAGTATTATTAGAATACAAGATGATAATGAATAAAAGTAATATATGGTTCTACAAATTCCCTTTGGCCCCATGACTTTGTAGCATTCATGTTATAAGAGTAGGAACCTAAAGCAGCACAAGGTAGTAGAAATAAATGCATGTAGTAAAAAACAATGAATCTAAAGCCAGAGACCAAGACACCAGTTCTTCCTCTAAAACCTTACCAAATCAAATCATTTAACCTCCCTAAATTCAAATTTTCTTGCATGTAAAATAAGGATAATAATACATATTTCATAGATTATCATGAAGTTTAAATAATATAAATAGTACACAATTATAGGCTCAAAATAAATGTTACTATACAAAGAATTAGTGAATTTAAAAAAAAATAAAACCAAATTAAGTATTTGACTTAATGAACTATAAATACTCATTTTAGTAAAACATCCTTATACAGACAGAAGAAAAATGACCAAACACTTACAGCCACATAGAAAGATAAATTTTTCATTTCTGCAGTTTTATAGGGTTAACTCAGGAAAGTCCTAAGGATAAAAATATCTGATGTAAAAAAAATCTCCTCATTGTGTCTTCACATCAGCAGACACTGTGGCTTCAAGCACAAGAGTGGAACTTCTCATCACCTTCTGCCTTTATTTTACTAAGCTTACACCTGTGTAAGGCACCCAGTCTGCCGTGATGTCATTGTAATAGACAAATCAGCAGCAACTGAGATAACAAACTTTTCATCACCTTTTACCAAATTTCACAAGCAAAGTTAAGAAGCTACAGATTTTCTCAGGTGATAAAAACAACTGTTCAGCTGGCCCAGAGTCTGGATCTGCCACTCTAGGTATCTACTGGAGCCTTGGAAACAAAGTGGAATTTACTCACTTTTAAGATTTAAGTCAGGATATTCCACACATCTCTTACTGTATTTTATCAATTATGTATGCAAATATTCCTCACTAAAAATGTTCACAATATAGTAAAAAAATAGCAACACAAAATTTTATTTGCAGTATGATCCTAATTTATATGATTGGGATGTGTGTGTAAAATGCACATATAAAAAATTATTGCTGTAAAATTCACAACTAACAAAAGACTGGAAGGAAATACATAAAAATATTAATAGATGCTTTCTCTGGATGGTGACAATGTGGGTCATTTTTATTTTCTTCTGTGTTCTCATATATTTGAAATTTTCACAAGTAGGACATATTTTTGTTCAAAGTTAATAATATAGTTATAAAAGATAAATAATTTTTAGTTCTTTAATTAGGTTAAAAAGTGTCAGGCCAAGTTTTGAACTTGAAATGGTTTTATATTATTAAATTTTCTGTAAAATTAGAGTTATAAAAGTTTTTTCTATCTCTTAATTTCTACAGCTCGAATTCAGTGGGTATGACTAGAAAGGTGGAAGCACATATCTCTGCTTAGACGTATGGAGACTGCTTTTTTAATCTTTAATTTACTCATCAGCATTGTATTAAAATGTAACAGGCTAATGATATATTATTCACTTCAAACTGAACCAGGTCCTTCGGCTTCCATTAAATCAGCTATATTTTTATTTGGTAAGAATATGAGAAGTAGAAAACTAAGGAAAAACAATTTATAAAACTGCTGTTAACTTTCTCAAAAAGGCCACTAATCTATATTTGCTTATTAATAATAACATATACATAGTATTTTAAAAATATACGTGATGTCAACTTGTATAGATTTTTTCAAATATAAGCAAATATCAGTATCAATTTTAAAACCATTTTTAGGGCCAGGGATTTGGCTCAGTGCTTCCGCCACCTGCCTTGCAAGTGCAAGGCCCCAAGTTTGAGCCTTGGTACCCCCCCAAAAAAATTTTTTTTAATACTTAATTACACAAATACTGTTTAGAAGAAAACAAGGAAACTTCAGAATACCTCAAACAAGCCACCATTTTCCTCACAACTCTCATGACAAAGCCAAAGGACCAGGGGTGCCACATACTCTGGCTTTAGGGCTTGAATAATATCTGAAAGAAATACAAAAAAAAAATAATAAGAAGAAGAATATGTACACATTTCCTCAATCATTTTACTTTCTGAAAAAGTCTTACTTACATTGGTAATTGAGATACTTTTAAAATAAGAACAAAGTACAGACACAAATAAGAACAAAGTACAGACACATAAGTGGTCTAATATTCAAGGTTTTCAAAAGTTTTTTTCATCATGACTGAGACACCCAAAGCACTCTCAAGCTTCTAAAACTGTAAGCACCAGATTTACCTTTCCACAATAGGTAACATACTATTCACAACAAACAAGAGTTATAGCTGCCTAGGAAAAAACTGGTGAGCAATACTGTTTGAGAAACTGAGATACCATTCATTCCCAAAACTATTACTCTCCTAGCTATTTAATGAGATTCTAGAAAACTACAAAACAGCTGTGACTGCAATGGGAGATAATGGTTCAGATGCACCTAAATCATCACAAATGAGTAACAAAGTTTGAGAACTACTTTGCCATTGCATGTCTTCTGTGATCAGGTAAGTAGAGTAGAAAGGCACTACACAAGAACAGGAAGACCTGGATTTTAGTGCTGCCCTGCTGTGTAGGCAACTCCAGAACTCAAAGACGTAATTCACCTGCCCTGGACTTGAGTTTTCATCACTAAGCTGATAGTTAAAATGCTTTCCCCACCTACTTCATCAAGTTGTTCTAAGGCTCAAATTAGATACGACTGTAAGCATTTTATAACTGCTAATATACTTTATAGTACTTTATAATCTTATCTAAGGAATCAAATGCAAACGTGTGATATGGTGAAATGTAGTTTTATTTTAATATGCTAAAGTAATAGATTTACAGTCCCATAATTAAAAGTAGCTCCAAGATCTTCACTTAGCAGCCTCTACAAGCTCTCAAGTACATGAGCAATCCAAAAGCACACAACTTCCCACTCTCTACTACCTGCATGAGGAAAACCAAAGGAAGGTTCTAACCATCTCAAATCATACATGACAAATTCTTAGTCTTTATAAGATTCATCTCAATATATAATTGTCCTCTATTTTCCCACATACCAGTTTTCAGAACTGAATGTTAAAGAGGAATTATATGATTGGATTTAGATATGTGAGTTGACCAACTTCATTTTGAGTGCAAAATGCATTTATAAAATCCAACTGAGAATCCATTATTATAGATGAAAGAAAAAGAACAAAAGCCACATAGGAAAAATACTTCTGCTTTTTACCTTATTTCACACATTATCGCTAATTTTATAAGCAAATATTCTTTTTTTGGGGGGGGGGTACCAGGGATTAAACTCAGGACCTTGCACCTGCAAGGCGCGCGGCAGAACACTGAGCTAAACCCATGGTCCAATAAGCAAATATTCTTGCTTTCCAGTTCATTCTCAAATTGCTAGGTCAGACAGCATCTATTACACTCAATTTTATAAACAAAAATCTAAGGCTTACGAGGACAAATAAAATGTCTAGGAGGTCATATAGCTAGTAAGATATATGAAATCAAAATCAGAACTGAGGCTTATTTACTCAACCCAGTGTTTTTTCCATAAGAGATTATCACAATTATCTAGCATTATTACATCAAGCTTAGAACTCTGACAGACACTTTGCTCTGGGCCAGAAATGAGATTGCTTTAAGCCTTGCTGAGATATGAGAATTCTTGGTCAAAAAGAAACAAAAAAAAGACTTACAATCGTTTGCAGGGAAGGCAGGTTGTTTCAGGCTAACCTGAAACAGATACCATAACAGTACTAATAAAATACTTAAGACGTAGGCCAACTTGGAGGTGGGTTCCCTAGCCTAAAATCTTCTATACTGAACCTCACCTTTCAAGGAATATCAAAACAGACCAAGCTGGTTATACCCCCTGGTTACCAGCCATTAGCAAAGATAAATTCTCTTGGAAGTAAACACTGCCGATTTAAAGCACAGAACAAACATAGAATAAGATCAAGGAGAGTTCATGATTAAAAATCACCAAGTATCCATGAAGGAACAATGCCATGAATAAAATTGGAAAGAAACAACAAATTTACACTACATGAAATAGAGACATTGCGACCTAAAATATATTGTATAGAAAACTATTCACTCAAAATAAAATTCCAAGTTCTAAAATGAGTATTAGTTCAAATGTGAAAAGTAAATGGTATCATAAATATCTGCATTTTATAAAGTAGTTAATTCCAGTCATTTATTTTGGACCATCTTACAAAAGCTTCTTTTGAAGTATTATATTTTTTCCAGAAATATGTAAAGGCCAACAGTTCAAGTATTCTATTACATAACTAAATAAATAAGTGTAGGCTCCCAATCACACATTTAAAGTTTTAAACAATATTTTCAAAAAGTTGGAAGACACCATCAATTTTAAGACTTACTGTAAAATTTCAGTAATCAAAGCATCATTACAGTGGTCAAAGAACAGGCACAGACATCAATAGAACAGGAAAGTCCAGAAAGAGCCACACACAGATCATCATCTAATTTTGCACATAAGGGAAAAGGCAATTCAAACTGAGAAAGATAAATAGCCTGTAAGGCAAATGAAATAGTTTCTTCAACAAATTAATGGCTTAAAAGTAAAAGATGAACTGTTATGTATTAAACATAATAACAAAATGCCTATATCCTAAGTATAATTCACCATCTCTAAAAAGAATTTTTTAAGAATTAGATAATCTAATACAAATTTTCTATTAGATGATTCAACATTATTTTGTTTGATTTAATAATGGTACTGTGGTTATAAGGTCTAGAACTATAAAGAGATACATTCCCAAGTGTTTATTAGATGCAATATAATGTCATAGCTGGGGATTTAGCTCAGTGGTGTCACTGCCTGCCTCACAAGCAAAAGGACCCAAGTTCAATCCCTGGAACCAAAAAAAAAAAAGGTGCAATATAATGTCTAGTATTTGCTGTGAAATACTGCAAGAAAAAAATGAGAAGATGATCCAAACAAACAAACAAAACTGTCTAATTGTTAAGTGTTTCCTGCAGCTGATGATGGGTACATAGCTCTTAACTACTCAATGTATTTTGGAAAGTTACATAAAGAAGTTTTTTTTAAAAATCGGTATAGGGCTGAGATAGTCCAGTGTGGTTTGCTCAATGGCCCTGAGGCTCTGCATTTGATCCTACTACTAAAAAAATAAGTATAATCACAAAGTATTTGTTATGGAACATGAACAAGGTAAAAGACAATGCAACTATCAAGAAATCTAGACTATTAAATTTCGAACATGTTCATAATATAGTAAAGGAAAAAAACAAGACTTTCAGTTTCTAACCTAACACATAAAACTTGTTAGTCATCACTTCCATCCTCAAACCAAGAAAAAACTGAACAAGCTAAAAATTAACACAGGACTGTGACCCATTTGAAAAGGTGAGTTAGGGTCGGGGATATAGCTCAGTGGTTCCACTCCCTGCCTTGTAAGCATAAGGACCCAAATTTGATCCTCAGTACAAAAAAACACTTGTTTCCTCATACATTCTTGCCAGGGATTTAGCTTGGTGGCTCCGCTGCCTGCCTTGCAAGTGCAAGGTCCAGAGTTCAAACCCCAGTACAAAAAAAAAAAATGTGTTAGCCATAAAATTATTGAACACCTTTCCTCCCCAAACCTCACAGTTACATCAACAGGACTCCACCACAATAACAGTGGATTACAGCAGAAAGAATTTCAAGACACAAATTCTACTTAACTAGGAGCTTCTAGGGAAACCTAAAATAACGTGATACAAAAACTGAAAGAAACTGAAGCCTCTGGTATGTACAGTTAAAGCAACTAATAAATATAGCCATACTCCTAATGAGATAAGCATACAACCTCACACTGAAGGCCTATTTATCTGAAATCTTATTACCTAATAAATCACGTTCAGCTTTCAACAAAAAGTTTCAAGACATGCTGAAATGTGAGAAAAAGAACAACCTTGAGGAGGCAAAGGAAACCAAATTCAGACATGAATCAGACCAAATTCAAAAATGACAGAGATATGGAAGTGATCAGGCTGTAAATTTAACATAACTATAATTAATATGCTAAGGGCTCTAATGGAGAAAGTAATCAACACACAGAACAGAAAGGTGATAGAAGCAGAGAAATGAAACTCAAAACAATCAAAAGAAAATTGTTAGACACCAAAATCATTATAACAGAAATAAAAAATCCCTGAGCTTGACAACACATAGTTAGAAAATTCCCAAAATGAAAGGCAAAGAAAAGTAAAACCAAGTATTTAAGAACTGTAATCACAAAAGTTTTCCCATGCATGCAATGGGAAGAAAAAGGAAAGCAAGTTGAAGAAATATTTAAAGTAATAATGGCTGAGAACATTCTAAAATTAACAAGAGATACCAAACCATAGATCCAGGAAGCTGAGAAAACACCAAGCACTATAAATACCAAAATCTCTACCTACATATTTTATATTCCAATGGCAGAAAACCAAATACAAGGAGATAACCTTGAGAGAATCCAGAGGGGAAAAACACCTGACCTACAAAGCAATGAGTGTGAGGGTCCAGTCAGACAGCTTCAGAAATCAACAACCCAGGTGGACATAAAGTAAAATATTTAAATTGAAATTATCCTTCAAAAGTCAATTTATGTGCCAGATTTTAATATCCTTAATTCCAAGTAAGTACACAAGTCTTTTTAAAAGGAACATGGTTTACTTGCATAAACTGATCTGTTCTGAGAGATTGCATGCCTTGAGGTGGTTTTTGTGAGTATGAAACAAGTGGTGAGAATCTTGGTGCCTGTAAGTACATTATTGAAATTAAGTCTATTTAACTTATCAGGTCTTGTTCATGCCCTGATTTTATATACTTGTATCTATCAATAAACATTGATACTTTCAAAAGTAGATTAAAAGAAAAGAAAGAAAAGACTGGAAAAAAGCACAAACTGGAAAAAAAATATGCAAAATACATTATCTAATAAAGGACTTTTTCCAAAATATAAAAAAGAAAAAAATTAAAACTCAAAACACAGCCCAATTTAAAAGTGAGAAAAAGATCTGAATGGATCCAAAGAAGATAAATAATGAAAAATAAGCATATGAAAAGTGCCCAGCACAGTATGTTATTTAGAGTTCCAAGTTAAAACAAAACAGCACTACACATCTGTTAGAAAGATTAAAATTTAAAAGCCTGACAATAAATGCTGGCACGGATGTAGAGCAACAAGAACTCTAATTTTTCTGTAAAGCAAAAACTGTTCTAAAAAATAAATATATGATTTGTAAATAATATTATAAAACAGTAAGAATGCTATTATTTCATTCTATTTAAAAAAGAATATGTATAGTATCTATCTGTGCAGAGAAAAAGGATGACCGGGAGGCTGAAACAGCAAGATCTTAAATTTGAAGCCAGCCTGGGCAACTTAGCAACTCAGTAAGAATATTCTTAAAATTACAAAAGGGCTACAGATGGGGATATAACTCAGTATAAAGATTCTCTGTGCCATGGGGAAGAGGGAGGCTTCAGTATGGTACAATTACAGGTAATCTTTTATCTATTTAATTTTTTCAACAATGAACATAAATTACACAAAATGCTGTTGAAATTCAAGAAAAAAATTTTAAAGTATTCAAAAACTTAAATACTTTTTGCCAGGCATGGTGGCACACAACTGTAATCCCAGCACTCAGGAAGCTGAGACAGGAAGATTGCTGTGAGTTTGAGACCAGTCTGGGCTACATAATGCGTTCCAGGTCAGTCTTAACTACATAGTGAGACCCCCCAACAAAAAAAAATTTTTTTTAATACTTTTGGAAAGGTCCTTCCATACATTTGAAACAGCACTGAAAACTCGACACTAATTTACCTTCTGGCAGAATGGTCTCAGTCATCCGTGACCCAGCATTGGGGGCAATAGTGTTACAGTGAATGTTGTTCTTCCTGCCTTCGATCGCAAGAGTATTTGCGAGTCCCAGAAGACCCAGCTTTGCAGCACTATAATTTGCCTGGCCAAAGTTGCCATATATTCCTGCAGATGATGAAGTCATAATGATCCTAAAAGGAAAATAAATCTGTCCACATCATCTTTTCTATATTTTAGTGACATTGCCATTCTAACCCTGTTTTGGTGCTGTCGCACCGGTCAAAATTAACTGTGTACTGTCATTAGCTTCTCACACTCATAATTCATATATAAAAACTAGTATTTATATAAAAAAATGATCTCTCAAAATTCAACTATAAGGTCTAACTGAAAATAATCTTTTGTCACAGCCAAAAAAATTCAAGTATAATAAATTTACTGTCTTTCAAAAACAATATTTATAAGCATAAAATAAACTAACAATATATGTTATAATTTTAGCAAAAAATATCAGATCAAGTAGTTTGGGTTCCTCAGTGCTCACCACTTTTACCCCTTTCTCTTCTGCTTAATAATAAATTCCCCACTAAAACAATGCCATTTTATAATCTGACCAAATCTCATTCTACATAGAGCAAATAAATCATATCACTTACTTTCAGAAAATGCCAAGATAAAAAATAAACTAGAAGTATTCAATAAGAGGCATTACAATTTGGCTCTTAAACGTATCCCTGAATCCTAATAGGGATGACCCTGACTCCAGAGTGCATTACCGTTATGTGCAATAAGTACACCAGCACTGCCACATTTTGAGTTATACAAGAAGAAGCAAGCAAGAGGAATCTTCAGTTACTAAACAGATTTTAAGGCTAACACATTCCAATCAGTATCAATTAGAAGGAAATAGCCACTGATCTCTCCCCAGCTAATCACTGGAAACACACAATTACACTTTGTTAGAAAATACTGTATACCTGAATCCTCAACATTTGTACTACTTTCTAAAATGCCAAAAAATAATAGGAAAACCATTGTTAGAGGTAAGAAAGATACACAAAGCTATCTAGCTCAGCTAATCTGTGACTATAAATGACACCAATCTAATGAGTACCAAACTATATTTTAAAAACATGATGACATTGTTCCCGACACCAAGCAATCACTTAATAACACATCATAAAATCTTTCTTTTCTTTGTATACACACACACAACACACATCTGTAGTCCTCTTTGACAGCTGTGTGAAACTCTACCTTCCATAGTTCTGTCTCTTCATATGATCCCACGCTGCCCGGGTAACTTGAAACGAGCCCCGTAAATGAACCCTGTGGACCAAATCTAAAACGAGAAGTCACTTTTATCATGCACATAGGCAATGGCTTGTTCACATATACAAAGACGTTCATTTTGTACCCAGCATTCAAAATCAGCTACTGTTAATCCTTCTGAGTGATCATTTTTGCTTTTGTTCCAATCATGCTTGCCTCCAATCACCAGTTCATACCCACACTACAACAGCTTTCCCTATAATTTACAAAGTTATTGCAGTCTCCATGCATATCTAAATACATTGCTTATCTTTAATGTTTATTTATATAAAACCTGGTAATACAGATACACAAAAATTTTACCTACTGAATAGCTTCTCTCATGTGAATAAACTGTAATAGTACATAAGATCCTAATGAGAAAATTGACAATGTGAAATAGAAAGAAAAGGGCTAAAGGTGTAGAGAAAGTGGGAAGAGTAGGAGAAAGGTAATAAGGGAAAGGAAAAAAATAGGAGAAAATGAAAAAATGGAAATAAAATGTTTATAAATGGGGAGGGGAGGAGGTGGTGAAGGGAGGGCAGGGACAGGGGCAAATAGAACCAAGACCTGTCATGTAAAGGTATAAGATCCCAATAATGAATGTAACTGTACTGTATACCTAAAATGTACCAATAAACTCAATGAGGGGAAAATTATTTTTTACATATATATA